TTCAGATATAATATTCATAGATTTAAAACCATCAAATAAGAATATCAATAAATGATTATGAATTTATGTTTTTAATGTATATGAATGATAATATTATGATCCGATTACAATGATACCCTACTTCACAATCTCCATTAAGTATCTTTCCTCTATTTTACACATAATTCACATCATTGGAATTTTGATATTCGTCAATATAAATCTAAAAATCTTAAAATATAAAATTAATCATAGAATTTGTATTGTTACTGTACCAAAAATACTGTTGCTACATTTACCTAAAATATGATAAAATCGAGTAGAATGATATCAGATATCATAACTCCATGCTGTTTTTGAAGATGCGCTAAAAGACCTTTCAGTAGGAAAAGATACAAGCAGCCTTCTAAAGATTTATAAATATTTAACTGTCCTTTGTCCTTTATACACAACTTCAGTGAAAAAGAGATGGTTAGAAAAAATATAAAATAAATATAAATAGTATTTATAGAAATATGGCAACATCTGCTACCTTCGTATGCGTAGTATAGTCTATAAAATGAATAACTTTGAATTTTGACCGTTATTTTTTACCAACATGGCAAATATAAAATCCCTCTGTCATAAAAGTTACTGATATTCTTTAAATTGAGTGCCTGAACGAATCAGATAGGTAACTTTTTTTACTTTCATGAAATAGAAAAGGAAAATAATATAACAAGTGACAGTTCTTCCTCTTCTTGCAAAAATCAACACGAAATGTCATATTTGTCAAAAGTAAAATGTCATCAGGTTTTGACATATCTAAATATCAGACCAATGTCGTCTCTAATAGAACAGCCTCGGAGCGAGATTTATAACGTCACGCTAGTTAGATACTACGGATTAATAAATATGTTGTAGAATACATGGAAAACATAATTATTCCTCGTATTTTTGGTTTGTATTTCAAAAATTATATAGTTTACATGAAATATACATAATATACAGTTAATAAATACAATATATGTACCTATTCACAGTAATAAATACTTTGGCAAATAAACTATGAACCATACAAATGCAGCAAATGTTTTACAATATACAAATAATGAATAAGTACATAAGACAATGGGTAAAAAATATATTTTAAATTTTGGGGTTTGAAAATCGATCTAATTTAACAAAAACATTCAATATCTACTAATAGTGATGTATTGATGTATTGTTTATTAATGTTCAAAAAATTATATTTGCAAATAATACAATATCATAGAAAAAAGGCGTTAGCGATGGCTACGAAATAAAGATCGCTATCATTTTATATGTAAAATTATTCTAAAATTTTTGATTTTCTTGGGATTTAGGTTTGGGAAAAATGCTGATTAAGTTTTCATTTGGTTTTTCATTATTTTTATTTGGTTTAAATAAAACGTTTCGGCTAACATTATAGCCTTCATCAGTGTTGTGTCATCTGAAAAAAATAGTGTCGAATATAATCCAAAAAAATACATATCAAATATTCACACCACACACCACATAATGTTTACTGCAATTAATAAACTAATATAAACTTGTCAAAAGATGACCACATATTTTTTAAAATTATTATTCCTGACACTAAAACTATCTACATTGACTATGGAGCACGATTTCAGCCATATTGTAAAACATTTGATGCATTGGTATGGTTCATAGTTTATTTGCCAAATTATTTATTACTATAAATAGGTATATATAGGGAAATTAAAATAACTTCCGTTGCACATCATAATACAACCACCAGCAAACTCCATGAGACGACGCATGGTGTCATTGACGACGTGCAACGGAAATTGTTCCAATTTTCCTATATATTGTATTTATTAACTGTATATTATATATATTTCATGTAAACTATATAATTTTAAAATACAAACCAAAAATACGAGGAATAATTATGTTTTTTGTATTATTCTACAACATATTTATTAATCCGCAGTATCTAACTAGCGTGACGTCATAAATCTTGCTCCAGGCTGTTCTATTAGAGACGGCATTGCGTCAGCATGGCCGCAAGTTGCTAACGTAATAAAATTAACACTAGAATAGCCCGCGGAAACTGTCAAATTCAAAGTTATTCGTTTCACAGACTATATCAATGATGAAAGTCTCCCGATAGACACTTCTAAAATTTGTAAGGTAGGCAACTTTATATACACTTGTATTTGATAGTTTACTGACAGACGATATAAAAAGTAGCGGTTTTTGTCTTTGTCTAAAAAACCCCCAGCGTGTTATTATTGTAATTTGTAATATTGTTTATTAGTTGAGAATCAATATAGTTGATTAAGAAATATCCAGTGCATTATTTCTATATAAATATAGGAATTCAGTCATATCGCTGGAAAAATTTCGCCCTTTGGGCAGTTTGGGTGTTGGGTGTCTTAAATTGTGTTTATAAAAACTCAAAACAGCCTAGGTTTTTGTATCGTTTATCGCGTATCGCGTATAATGTTTGGTTTAGGCAATATAAATCAATATTTAAATTTTTAATATCGAGAAAAAAAATAGTTTTAGTTGCAGTAGCTTTGTCGTAGCCGAGGGTTTGAGATTCATCGCGAAATTTGTGTAGGTAATAATTCATAATTTTCTGGTTCTGGATAAATGATGAACTCTTGTTGACTGATTCTGGAATAGATACTTTCAAATAGACAACATATGGTGTTTAGTTTGTAAAAGTGTGCGGTCAAAAGAAAACAATTGCTTAAATTTCAAAAAACGTTTAGAGAAAGAATTGACTTAAAATATGTATAAAAAATGTGAAATAAAACTTTTAGAAATGTGTATGTGTATATGTATTTTATTTTTATTTATTTATATTTTTGTGATATTATTATTTAGTGTCTTTTAATCCTATCGTGGAAAGTTAGTGTAAAGAATATTGACTGGATTTTTCTTTGAATAAGAAGACTAAGGAAGGAGCATAATGCTATCCATGTATTCATGCATGGTGGGCGGAAAAGCCACCATAAAAGCTCTCTAGGGTGGGGATCCTTGACAGTTCTGTTTGACGATTCATTTGACACATTTGAATTTGATTTGAAATTTTGTGGATTTGTCAGTCTTTAGGAAGCTTATTTTATGTTATTTATTATTTATTCTACTACTGATAGTTGTATAAAGGTAGTAAATCTAGATGGAAATTGTGGCAGCACTTAAATTAACAGTGACACTATCGCGATTTATCGAAAAAGACTCTAAAATAGTTGGTTGTGTAGCGTGCGGTAGATCTCGGCAAAAATTGAGTGGAACAACTTTTCGCTAGTAAGTGACTATATAATATACATACGTGTAGTAAACCGATCATTTATGAAATTCACTTAAATTAACTAAATTATATATTTTTCTTGCATTTTAGCTTTTATTTATTACTTGTCAAAGATTAGATGTCAAAGAATTTAGATACGTTAATTTGACTTACCTGCTTCAGTAGCGTATCGAATGTTTGTGTTAATAGACAGTTAAAGCAAGGCACAATACGTATACGTATCTCTCGACACGTAACGCAGAAACTTACGTTACGTCTGCCGTTGCGTTGTCGTGTAAACAAGAGTTAAAACAAGTATTTTGACGTACGTTACGCAAATGGTACATTTGTAATTCTAAATTATTTTGTGAGACAATTTATTTAATTTTAAAATTGAAAATGGATATCTATTATTCCATTGATTCTACATTAAATTTATAAAAGTAATATCGAAAAATGAAGAAAATTATAAATGGAAATTATTTAATTATTTTATTACAGAAAGTAGTCCTTACAACTTCAAATGCTCTTAGTAATAAAAAATATTGGAAAACAGACACAGTTCTATGATTATTTATTAGATTCCATCTTTTAGAATCCTCATATGGATTTTGGCTATAAGAACTAGCATTTAATTAAATAGATTCCAAAATGACTTTATTATGACGCTTAATATTTTCATACTAATTTATTGTAATAAAATAGGCCCAGTTCTGTGACACTGGCCCCAAAATTTATGAAATAACTTAATTACTAGCCAGTTGTGGAAACGAGTTGTTTGTGAATTTGTACGTTCGGCATCATTCGGTTGAAAATCGAAACTCCTTCGGCTCGATACGTTTGCGTTTTGTACGTACGTAAAGGCACGTAAAGATACGTATCACGTATCCGTAAACGCAAGTGAATTTCTCACTGCGCAAGCGTACATGTCAAACGATACGTTTACGTCTACGTCTTTGGCCGTGCTTTAACTGTCTAATAAATACTTATTATAACTTATCTATTTTTATTAGAATTATATATTTTTATAACAATTTTAATAACTACCAACATTTATTCACAACGTAAAATAAAACAACAAATTATTGAGTCTACCCCACGTCTACCCTACATCATAGTTTTACATTTTTTAAATAAAATTAGAACGACACTGATAAACCGCAATTTAAGTCGGCCATATTTGAGGCCCATCGCGGTGTACCTAAGATTTTTGATATGCTCCTTCCTTAGTCTTCTTATCCAAAGGGATTTTTAGTGAATTGGCACTAGACCACCTGTTTAAAAATGTAAGGGTAGGTTTCATTTTAACATAATTTGTATTTATTTTTATTTGTTTTCCTTGAAATAAACGTACAAAACCTTGTAAGAAACCAATTAAATTTGGTCCCGTCTTAAAAAAAATCGACGCAATATTTTTAGTTATTGACCTCCTTACAATAATAACCACGAGCCGCCGCTGGTATTTAGAATCGTCATTAAAAGGGACAATATCTCCTAAAAAGAATGTTAAATTTTATTCATTTTGTAAGGAGCTATCCACAATAATTGAAATGGTTGGAAATACATTGTTATATGACTTTAGGATCACTGATTGGTACCAATGTTAAAACAAATTATTGATCAAAAATTTTAGCAAACCATGTTTATTCATTGCCGTCATTTTTTTGAGCTATTCTTTTTCTTGTAACATTACAAGTTAAGACTTTATTTGAACAGTCAGATCTAGTTGTTTCTATCAAAACTATATTTCCAGATTCCAAATTCACAGCCGGGCCATTCTCAGCAGCCCAGCTTGGTCCAGGTCCAAGTAAATCAAGACAATATGGTGTCTGTCATTGACGAGAACAATGACAAGCATCACAAGGAGATGCTGTCGGCTCAGCTGCAGGCCGCCCATCTTCAACTCAACGAATCTCAGATGAATTCTCAGTCGCTGACCGTGCAGCAATTGCAACAGCTTCAAGCTCAGCAAGTCCAACAGGTATGGAATAGTGTGGTAAGTCGTCAATGCAGTAGAATAGGTGTTATATTATGTACCTTTACTTCCTTCTGAGTTCCGTATACTTCTAATTTTTGTACCAATGTCAAGCTTCGTCTACGCACAACCTTGTACCTGTCTCTGAAAACTGACGGCAGTTCTCAAGACACTCAAGTAAAAGCCAGAGACAGTCAAGACTGACACGTAAAACGTTATGTGTAGATGGGGCTTTAAAATAATCTTCGTTATCATAACTTTCTGACAACATTTTCGACACACAAAAAATTGAAATCTATAGTTTGTCAACAAATTCCTTACTACGCCTTTTACTTACACATTACTTATTTAATTTTACCTTTTATTTTCAACGCAATTATTTTACAGTATTTTTTTGTGTGTAAATTCTTGCCAGATTCGCATGGAACAATCTTCAATGGAACACAACAATCAGCAGCAGAATCATGGCGATCAGCAACAACAGCAGCAGCAGCAACAGCAACAACAACAGCAGCAGCAGCAACAACAGCAACAGCAACAAAATAACATGAATGATAACATGGAAATTGTTAAGGATGAGAAATCCATACAGTGCAAGTTCCTCAATAACGCACAATTAGGGCTACAGGAAGTGAAGGGCAGTATCATGGACGTGAGAACGGCTGATGGCAGTATAGGTATGTTCTATTAAAAATATAGTAGCAATATAGGTCGTAGATTAAATTTACAAGAAAGAAAACCCAGAAAAGATCCAGTGGTTCTCAAAATTTGAGCAAAAAATAATTTTTTTGGGATATTTTCAAAGTAAAATAACTCCGTTATTTTGGACTTATTTGATAAACAATAAAGATAAAATGTGTTTCTTTTATCGAGATCTACCACCCCTAAGAATACATGCACTTATTTCTGGGACACCCTGTATATACCTATTCTTTTTTCTGTGTGAGCTATTTGAACTTGCGTAAAACGATAATGGACATAAATGCCAATTTATAGCAGATTTTTGCAGTGTTGACAAATATGATAAAAATATGGTATGATAATATAACAGAGACGGTTAGATAATCATGTATCTGCTATGTTTTCAACCAGAATGAAGTGAATTTATTTTATTTATCTATGTAGGTTATAAGATCTAGGATAATATCTAGTGATTTTCGAAGTAGTTCATTTGAACTATAGTTTGACGCAGCCGACGCGACGTCTAATTAACGAGATAGTCCTTTGAATAAGAAGACTAAGGAAGGAGCATATCAAAAATCTTAGGTACACCGCGATGGGCCTCAAATATGGCCGACTTAAATTCCGGTTTATCAGTGTCGTTCTAATTTTATTTAAAAAATGTAAAACTATGATGTAGGGTAGACGTGGGGTAGACTCAATAATTTGTTGTTTTATTTTACGTTGTGAATAAATGTTGGTAGTTATTAAAATTGTTATAAAAATATATAATTCTAATAAAAATAGATAAGTTATAATAAGTATTTATTAACACAAACATCCGATACGCTACTAAAGCAGGTAAGTCAAATTAACGTATCTAAATTCTTTGACATCTAATCTTTGACAAGTAATAAATAAAAGCTAAAATGCAAGAAAAATATATAATTAAGTTAATTTAAGTGAATTTCATAAATGATCGCACGTATGTATATTATATAGTCACTTACTAGCGAAAAGTTGTTCCATTATTTCACTCAATTTTTGCCGAGATCTACCGCACGCTACACAACCAACTATTTTAGGGTCTTTTTCGATAAATCGCGATAGTGTCACTGTTAATTTAAGTTCTGCCACACAATTTCCATCTAGATTTACTACTTTTATACAACTATCAGTAGTAGAATAAATAATAAATAACATAAAATAAGCTCCGTAAAGACTGACAAATCCACAAAATTTCAAATCAAATTCAAATGTATCAAATGAATCGTCAAACAGAACTGTTAAGGATCCCCACCCTAGAGTGCTTTTTCCGCCCACCATGCATGAATACATGGATAGCATTATGCTCCTTCCTTAGTCTTCTTATTCAAAGAGATAGTCACTTTGATATATTCTTTTGCTAGATTGACTATAATTATCTATTTTTGTGTATTATACTTAATTCTGTGTTTCTACTTAATATTTTCAGTGAAAATTCAAACTAATATGCAAGAACAGGAACTGGCTAAAACCTTGGGAGTTGAGATGGTTCAGAATATGTACAAAGTCAATGTAGATGACCTCAATCAACTCTTAGCTTACCACGAAATATTTGGAAAGCTCCAAGGACAAAGTTAGTATTTTTTATGCAAATAGAAAGTCTGCTAACGACAAAATACCTTCCAATATATGTCATAGCTTTTTAAGTAGAATTATAATATATATCTCAATCTTATTTTGCTCTAACATGCTTCAGTTAACCGCCCGATTTGTTTTCGTACTTAACACTGTAAATTTATTGTAATTTTAGGCGATGTTTCAAACAATCCAAATCCGAATTTACCTGTTAGTAATGCAGGTAGTAATATAAATATTCCTACCCAGCCCGCTCCAAATTTACCCATAATAACCAAGGATGAACACGAGCCTTCCACCAGTACTATGCAACCACCAAACGAAAACAATACTACGTCAGTCATAACGGGCAATCATCAATGCGATTTGTGCCTAAAGACGTTCCAGTTTCGGTATCAGCTCATAGTGCATAGGCGGTATCATAGTGAGAAGAAACCATTTACCTGCCAGGTTAGATATATGTATCTTTTTTAAGCATTGTGTACCTAATATATTTTAGTTCTTTAGGGTTGTTTTGATTTTTTTATTAGTTTTAAATGAAACCTTTTACATTTTATTTTAAGTTGTTCAGTGTCCAATATATTTCGCAAAAAAAGTCGCTCGCTTCAGATCAAAAGGATTTTTTTTTCAAACATCTCAAAGTATTAACTTTTGTTATTTTAACGCCTAGGCATAAGAGTAAAGCACTGTTACGCTTAAGCACAAAAGTACAAAAATATGTTATTAAACTGATATCAAGTGTCAAATTCAACGAGTGTACAAATTGTTGCTCGATTACTGTTCATATTATTTGCAATGTTTGAAATTGATTAAAAAATTATTTGTCATGTTTTAAAAGAAATAGTATAGTCTGTCCAACGAGAAGATCCTTGACAGTGATAGATGTGTCTGTCATTTTAATTTCAAAGTAGTTTATTTTATTTTACAAAGAAATAAGTTGGTACAACTGAAACGCATAGCAGGAAATATTTAAAATTTGATTGACAAGATGACAAGTGATTACTTCAAAATATTGTGAAAAAAACTGTATAAAACTGAAAAAATGTAATCGAGTTATTTTATTTAATAAAAACGGTATGTGTTAATACAAAACAAACAAGAACAAGACACTACATATCAAAAAAATATAAAAAAGAACTATTATTTACTTTCAAGCTTTATGAAACTACCCGCATTTATGATTATATTTATCAATATAACTTATGTACAAATACAAATTTGTAATATTCCGCAGGAATAAATAAAACAACATAGGTAAATAAAACAAACTATTTTATTAATAATAACTCCTACCCAATTTTATACCTTAAAGGTTGATTAATTAACTTTAATCTTAATTTTTTTAAATCAGTACCTTTTGACATTATTTTTCTGCAGTACTAAAATCCATTATTTGCCTATCGTGTGATGTCGATATTTTACAGCTACTCCAGTTTTTAGTATATGTTTAGTTTGATCCTTCTACCTTATACGAGATGCACTTATCTACGACGAAATGGTATACAAACTTTATCGATGGCAACTTCATTGGTTTAAGACTTCCTGCCTGAGCAGCGAGTATTAACCATAAACTGTGCTCTGGGTCTACAGTTAATTTTCACTCGATTTTTCCTCCACTTGACTTCAAAAGACACAAAACACACGTAATAATACGAATCAAAATGCATCATCTTCCAAAACGCAGGGTATTCAATAAAAGTTGACACAAAATTATAACCTATAATTTGGCAAGACTTTGACAAGCGTCAAAAATGACAAAAATCTAAAGGCGAGTTCATACGCATCGGCGTCCGTTTGTCGTTCATCGTTCCGTCAAACCAATAAAATTGAAATACGATCTGTCATTTTTAAATAAACCAATAAAACTGGTTAAAAACAACAAGACACGACGCATGACGGATTTATATTTAAACCCATCCATAGATAACTTAAAAATAATTAGAAACTTTTTTTAGTAAAATAAATAGATTGGTATGGGACGTCATCTGCTTTTCTTCTGTCATCGTCTGTCGAAATCTTACCTGAGAAAAAAAAACAGAGTATATGTTCTATTCGGAGTAAAAATGTACTTTTTGTGCCTCCCTGTAACGTCGGAATAGCACTTATTGCAGATCAAAATGTTTGTAGGAATTTGGAAACATAAAACCGTTTCAAAAAAAAAATAAATAAATAAAACAACACATTTTCTGACAACGATTATAGATTCTCGGGAATGAAGATATAGTCTCTATATCAGGAGAACCTAGTTCTGCACTAGACTATGCGAATGATATGTATTCGAACAGCGACTTTTTGTCACTTAAACATAAATTTTTAAATAAATCCAGCGGTCTAATGGATTCACACGAAATTACTTCAAAAATGGGTCCAACATTTAAATTGATGAATAGATATATTTATATAGTTTTATAACATTTACGATTATTTTTCGATTTATTATCTGTTATAGAAATATTTTTTCTAGTTTTCTAAGACACATTTTTATAGCTTTTACAGTTATTTTTTTATTTATTATAAAGTTTCAATAAAATTATTTTTTTTTTATTTAAACCACATGATTAAAATTTAAAAAAAAACACTTGATTTAAATCACGATTTAAATCATGATTTAAATTATTTCATTTATCTATCCAAAAAAATCCTTATGGGTTTTTCGCCACTGCACTGCAAGAAAAATCTACAAAATAAAATAGTTATTTTTTGTAAACACTTCTGGCGTTAAACCTAAACGGACGCTGCTTGTCAGAAGTTGTGTTTACAGTAATAAAAATTTGCCTGATAAAGAAAAAAATGCTTAACGTTTCGGAAAGTTTTCTCTTCCGTCGTCGGCTAGCAAAAAAATATAAAGAATCAAGAAAAAAACTATTTAAAATATTTAAATTCAACTATTCGAGAACACTTTACTTTTTAAAACAGATACGTCTACAAGAAATCGTTGACGTTCTGTTAAAATGACATTATATTAAGTTAAACTTCAAAATTAAAAATTACTACCTGATAATTACTTAATAAGGTAAAACCAAAAATCCCAAACTTTTTGTATGATTATTTTTAAATTTTACGTATGTTATGTTTATTTATGTAATGTTCTTTAAAATCAAAAAAGCGATTGCCATTCATTACTAACATCTACAGATGCATGAGCAATACATTTATTTTTATTAGATTGAATTAAAAAAGCCTCTTTTATTTTTCTTTTAGAGGCTATCGCTTCTTTCATTATAATTTTGGCGTTATTAAAATTTATTCTGTGCCCTGTGTCCCATGAATGCTGACAAATCTTAGATTTGTGAAAATCTCCCTTTCTTAAATAATCTTTATGTTCTTTAATTCTAACATTTAACGGTCTAGATGTTTCACCAATGTAAAATTTATCGCATTCACAGGGTATTTGGTATATTACATTTTTTGTTTGTTGTTCTGTAGTATGTGATAAAATTGATCTAAGTGTATTTTGTGTTTTGAAAGATGTTTGTATGTTATATTGTTTTCCTATCCTTCTTATTTTTTCCGAAACGCCTCGTATGTATGGAATTGTAAGTTGTATATATTGTGTATTGTTATCTTTGTGTCTATGATTTGGGGTTTGTATTTCGTTTAATGTTTTGTCAATAAAATATGGTGGATAGTCGTTTTTTATTAATGTATTTTTTATGTGGTTTATATCTTTGTTTAGTGAAATGTCATCTGTACATATTATTTTTGCCCTATCATATAAACTTTTTATAACACCTTTTTTTACACTTATACTGTGATTAGATGTGAAATTTAAGTATCTATCTGTGTTTGTGGGTTTTCTGTAAACTTCTGAAATTAGTTTATTTTGAAATTTTGACACTAAAACATCAAGAAATGGCAAACGATTACCTCTCTCTACTTCTAAAGTAAATTTTATGGTAGGTTCGCGAGAATTTATATATTCCAAAAAAATGCCTATTTCAGCAACGTTATGTTGCCATATTGCAAAAATATCATCAACATAACGCAGCCATATTACAGGCTTTTTTGAAAAACTATTTATTGTATTATTTTCAAAATCTTCCATAAAAATATTACTTAACAAATGAGAGAGGTGATCCCTTTGCCATACCGAAATCTTGTTGAAAAAATTCATTATTTAATTGGAAATAAGTAGTTTTAACACAAAGTGTCAACAATTCCAAAATACTATCTATGTTTAATTTTGTTCTATCTATTAAATGTGTATCTTGTTCTAATCTATCCCTAACTATTTTAAGTGATTTATCTACCGGCACGTTAGTGAAAAGACTAACAACGTCAAAACTAACCATTAAACTGTTAGGTGTTATATTAATTTTTGAAATTTTTTCTATAAAGTGTGGTGTGTTTTTAATGTATGAATCGGTGTTATTTGCAATCGGATTTAATATGTCTAGAAAAAATTTTGCCAACGGATGGCATGGAGAATTTATACTACTGACTATAGGTCTAAAAGGTATACCCTGTTTGTGTATTTTAGGTAAACCGTATAAATGAGGTGGTTTACTGTAATGGGGTGTTAATAATGTTCATTGTAAGTCTGTTAATATATGTTTGTATTTGTATAAAGTTCTGTATATTTTTCTTTCAATAGTTGGTGTTGGGTCTTTTGAAAGTTTTGTGTAACTACCGTTATTTATAAGATCTGTAATTTTGTTATTATATTTTTTTTTCGGATTTTTTTTTGGATAGATGAATTCGCCACATAGGTATAGATATTTTTTATTTCATTTATATCATGCCAACCCTGCTTATTTCTTTCTAAGATCACAAAAGCCTTATGTTGAATTTATTTATATCTCCAGGTTTGTGGAAAAGCCTTTCCAAACAGCCAGGAACTGACCAGGCACGGAAAATGTCACCTGGGTGGAAGCATGTTCACTTGCACTTTGTGCTTTCATGTATTCGCCAACGCTCCGACCTTGGAGAGGCACATGAAAAGGCATTCGACGGAGAAGCCGTACGCTTGCACTACTTGCGGCAAAACTTTTGCCAGAAAAGAGCATTTGGAGAATCACGTCAGGTGCCATACGGGGGAAACCCCGTACCGGTGCAATTTTTGCGGGAAGAATTTTACCAGGAAGGAGCATATGGTTAATCACGTTAGGAAACATACTGGGGAGACACCTCACAGGTAATGAATGCAGTTTTTTAAGTGTGTTTTGTATGTTAGAGGAATAATCAGAAGCGATTTTAAGGGATTTCTCAGTTATTTGACATATTGACATTGGAGTTGTCAAGCTATTGTCGGTATAAAAAGATGTATTCGTCTCTCGTATTCTGCTTTTCATACTCCATGTTAATTAATATATTTCACCTGCAGTACTTCACTTAGCATGAACTTAAACCAATATTACTTTTAAAATAAATACAATTTGTATAAAGATATTACCTATGTCCACATTGTCTGAGTTATTGTTTACACATAATTATGTTTAGGTGCGAGATCTGCAAAAAGTCCTTTACAAGGAAGGAACACTTTATGAACCACGTCATGTGGCACACAGGAGAAACGCCTCACTGTTGCACAGTGTGCGGCAAGAAATATACCAGAAAAGAGCATTTGGCCAATCACATGAGAAGTCATACAAATGACACACCATTTAGGTAGGACAACTAACTAACCAGATACCAGATCATATCTAACAAAATTTAACTTATACAAATTTAAATTATTTCTTATTTTTTATTTTATTATTAATACATTTTTATTTAGGTGTGAAATTTGTGGTAAAGCTTTTACTAGAAAAGAACACTTTACCAACCATATCATGTGGCACACAGGAGAAACCCCTCATCGTTGCGATTTCTGTTCAAAAACGTTCACGAGGAAAGAACATTTGTTGAACCATGTGCGTCAACATACAGGCGAATCTCCACACAAGTGTGTTTTTTGTAATAAGTCCTTCACGCGCAAAGAACATTTAACCAATCACGTACGACAGCATACAGGTAAGTCGTCTGTCCAACGACAAAATACACGACAGTGATACATGTCGACAGTCCAACGACAGTGATACATGCGCCTGTCATTTTAATTTCAAAGTAGTTCAAAAAAATCAAAGAGGTTTTTATACAGGGTGAGTTTCCTACGATGTTCTCTATGGGTATCTCGAAAACTACTGGAGATAGAGAGTCGGTTGAATGGGGAAAGAATTGCAGTTTTGTGGGTCCATAAATATGCGCATTTCAGATTTACTAGATGGTTTACTAGATATTTCGAAAAAAAAACAAATTTTGGCTGTTTTAAAAATTGTCCCTAATATAATATATTTTAGACAAAAAGTTTCCAGATAAAAGTTGTAGATAATCACATCCTTAATGAGTTTGTTCTCCGATTTTTTCTAAAGCCTGTCATTTTTGACATATGACACAAACATATGTTTTTTTAAATGGAAACCATAGTTGGCCATGACTTCATAAAAAGCGCCATTGTTTCGATGTAAGCTATAATATGTTTTTTTTTTCGAAAAATTATCAAATTATAGCCAATTCTTATCTTTCTTGGCTAATTTCACTTAGTTGGTATGGTATTCTTATTCTGTTATGATTTATAACTTATAAAAAGATAGAATATATTACTAAACGGTTCTTTACAATTTACATTACACAAACTAAAACTTAAAAAAATAATATCACTACATACACTTTCAGTTATTAGAAAATGCTCAAAAAATTCGCTATTGTTTTGAGTACACAAATTCATCTGTTTATTACTGGCTACTAACTAGCTATTCTCGCAGAACAACTGGTCGACTTAATTAAACTTCTCCCATACCGCCTCTCCGAGTGCCTCTTTTAATTCATAAGTTCTTTTGTAAACCTTGTTGTTAACCATACCGCATAAAAAAATCTAGAATGGATAGGTCAGGTGATCAAGGAGGCCCATCAGGTGAAAATGGGTCCCATTTTCCTTCCTATCCCTGAGTTTGCATAATTATGATATAAATAATTCTGTACATTTCTTTCATTATAAAAGTCATGTTGGAAATTGAAACCACTCTACTGATGCGCGAGTATCTAAATTTAACTTTTCTAACATGTCTTCAAAACCGTTCTCTAAAAAACGTTAAGTAACGTCCACCGGTCAACGTTTCCTCGAAAATGTACGGCCAAGAAAAGTTGAACCAATAATCCTACACACTTTTCTTCATTTGAAAAAATCATATTTACAATTTTTGTTTATTTTAATTTACCAAGTTTGGATGTGACAGTTTCACATTTCTGAGAGAAACAACAATTGAACTTGTTTTCATGGCTAACTAAGTGACATTAAAAATGATAAGAATTGGTTATAACTCTGTAATTTTTCGAAAAAATTATATTATAGCTTATATCGCCGAAAAGCCTAAAAAATGGCGCTTTTTTAAGACATGAACTTTTTCAAAAATCTGAAAGGTGCATATTTATGGCCCAACAAAACTGCCATTCTTTCCCCATTTAACCGACTCTCTATCTCCAGTAGTTTCCGAGATACCCATAGAGAACATCGTAGAAAACTCACCCTGTATACTCAAATATTAAAGATAGAAGCTTCGTCATAAGAAATATTGTTTTATTAAATTTGTTAGACATTTTCTTGGCCACTGATAAACTGGAATAATTCCAGTCAGCCATATTAAAGTACCTTCGCGGTATCAATAATTTTGTTGATACACTCTTTTCTTAGTCTTTTAATTCAATGCCTCAAACTTATAAGATTTATGTTCATAAAATTGGATGTTTGCCTTTTTTGTATTTTTTTATACTATGAATACATTTTTAGTATACTTACTATTTTTTTTTGGAAATTATAGGCGAGACACCATTTAAGTGTACCTACTGTCCCAAAGCGTTTACAAGGAAAGACCATCTGGTCAACCACATAAGGCAGCACACGGGCGAATCTCCACACAAGTGTACTTACTGTACAAAATCGTTTACGCGCAAAGAACATTTGAATAATCACGTGCGGCAACACACCGGGGAATCACCACACAAGTGCCATTTCTGCGCCAAATCCTTCACGAGGAAGGAACACCTCACCAATCACGTTAGAATTCATACAGGTTCGTATTGATTATTTTTTCTTAATAATTTTTTTAATTTCTTATTTTTTTTTCTTTTTATTTATTAGGTGAATCGCCTCATCGGTGCGAATTCTGCCAAAAAACGTTCACAAGGAAGGAGCATCTGACCAATCATCTCAGGCAACACACCGGGGAAACACCGCACTGCTGTAATGTATGCTCTAAACCATTTACTAGGAAGGAGCATTTACTGATTCACATGCGGTCTCATACGGGGGAAAGACCGTTCACGTGTACGGAATGTGGAAAATCGTTCCCTCTTAAAGGTATAGTATAATCAAAAAATTGCAAGCGTGTTTTGTATCATTCTTCTCTTCTTACGACGCCGTCTCCTTTCGAAGGTTGGCGATCCAAATAGCTAACATCATTCTAGATACAGCCATACGAAATATGTCGATTGATGAGCAACCAAACCATCTACGAATGTCCTTTAGCCAGGAATTCTGGCGTCTGCCGATAGATCTTTTGCCCTGGACTTTGCCTTCAATTATTAATCTGAGAAGTTCATACTTTTTACCTCTCATTATGTGGCCTATGTAGCGTGTTTTTCTTTCTTTGATGGTAAGCATGAGTTCTTTCTGTTTTCTCATTCGATTAAGAACCTCCACATTTGAAACTCTTTGGACCCATGATATTCTTAATATACGGCGGTAAATATACATTTCGAAGGCATATAGTTTTTTTTCTAATGATATGTCAAGAGTCCAACTCTCACACCCGTACAGGAGAACTGAAAAAATGTAGCATCTGACCATGCGTACCCGTAGCTCCAAACTCAAATCTGACCTTGTGAAAAATTGTCTCATATTTATAAATGTTTTTCTAGCCTGTTCTATGCGGCTTCTAATTTCTTTCTTCGGGTCGCATTGATCATTTACAATACACCCCAAATACTTGTATGAAGACACTTGCTCTACTGGGTCACCGTTGATATCCAGGTGAATCTGCACAGGTGTTTTGGTGAATGCAAGAACCTTCGTTTTTGTGGTATTTATGAGGAGACCGCAGTTTTCACTATGCCGAACTAATTCATTCATTAGCCTCTGCAAATCTTGTTCATTCTCGGCCAGCACAACTGTATCGTCGGCATACCTGATATTATTGATCACTTTCCCGTTAATCTTAATTCCACATTCGATTCCTTCTAGAGCTTCTTTGAAGATAGCCTCTGAATATATATTAAATAAGAGCGGTGACAGCACACAGCCCTGTCTTACACCTCGTTTAATCGTGATTTCTTCTGACGATGTTCCTTCAATTTTAACCACTGCGTTTTGCTGCCAGTAGAGATTTGTAATCAATCGAATTTCTTCTCTATCTATTCCGGTTGTTTTGAGGACTTCTATAAGTTTTTGATGGTTAACGCAGTCAAAGGCTTTTCTATAATCTATAAAACAAGCGATTACATTGACATTCATGTCTCTGCAACGCTGAGTGATAACGTTTAATCCGAATAACGCCTCACGAGTACCTAGGCCACTGCGAAATCCAAATTGAGTTTCGTCTAGTTGGTATTCGCATCTTTTATAAATTCTGGTGTGAATTATTCTGAGAAATATATTGAGGACATGGGACATCAGACTTATCATGCGGTATTCATCGCAGTTCGAAGCGTGGGTTTTCTTTGGAAGGGTAATAAATGTCGTTAGATTGTATTGAATATGAATACCAGCAGTTGCAACCCCCTTCCGTCCTGTTCAGCCATCAGTTTTATAACTTCGGCATGAATATTGTCTGGGCCAGTTGCTTTTCCGTCTTTTTGGGATCTTATTGCGTGAATTACTTCGTCTTTGGTAATTTCAGGTGCTTTTTCGTTCATGTTTTCATCCGCTTTCGGTGGAGTGTTCGGTAATTTTGTATCATTACCTACAGAAAAATAATTCTTATGGGAAATTTACAGTGTCAACAGTCGAAGCCCTCATAAAAATAAAACATTTTTTTATATGGGTTTTGTTTCTGTTAAACCCTGTAATATATTTTTTTATGAAAGAAATTTTTATATTTCCGTGAAAAAATAATTTAAGCTGTTTAAAGTAGATGATGTTCAATGTACCACAAACATTTTTTATATGATGTTCTATTACCTCTATATTACCTTTAAACGATCAAGGGGGATATCGAGTTTTTATAATACATAAATAGAAATATAATAATTTGTAATTCTAATGGTGGAAAAATAATTTAAATTGTTTATTTTTTTTAGGGTTGATGTTTTTTGACAACTTTAAATAGCATGTATTTATATATTTACAATTAGTGATGTTAATATTTCAGAAATTTTTGATTGTTGCAGGAAATTTCCGAAACTTTCGGAAACTTTCGGAAATTTATGAAATTTTAGGAAATTTTACAATTTTACATATTTTTTGTTGATACAATAAAGGAATAAATTAGATAGACATTTGATACCAACATGTAAGTGGGAAAAAAACAATAAACATAATATTAGTTGTTATATTTTTAATAAACAATACATAACTCATAAAAGTCATAAACATAACACATAACAAAAATCATTTGGTAACATTTGTACTTTCTACATAAACCATGAACTACGACTATGAACTTAAAAAAACAAAGAAGCACGAAATATAAATTTAAAAAACGTTAAAACACAAATAACTGAATTATTCTATTCCGGAATACTTTCAGACGCCGAGCTGGTCCCATCTTCATAGGGTGTTATAATAGTAGTAATACTGTCTTCGTTAGTTTCTATTTCCAAATCAGATATATTTGATGTATCATCTGGTTCTGATTCTGAAGGATGGACCTCTACCTCTACGGGTTCTAGTGGTTCTGGAGGAGTTTCATGTTGTTGAATATCATGCTCCATATCCACTTTTTGTTTTTGTAGTAATAATTTATTGTTATGAGCTACGAACATTATTTTGCCGGCTCTTTGTGCAGTTAAGCGATTCCTTTTTTTACTATGGATAAAACTGTAAGTACTGAAACTCCTCTCAGTGGCTGCAGATGATGTTGGTAAAGACAGCAGAGCAACAGCTAAATATTTCAACTGAGTATTTTTACACATTGCTTGCCACCAACTTAGACAGTCTATATTTTTAACTGACATGCAAACGTAGTCGAAAGCCCATAAACCCCGATTTGGCGCAATAATTTGTTACGTCTGTAAAAATAGCTCATTTATTATTGACAAACTGAGAATGTTTGTTGGTGATATCGTTGATAAATTCCATTGCGGCTATGAGTTCTTCATTGTTAAGGTGCTCTCCCAGGAAACAGAGGGATCCACGTCCAAGAGATTCGCGGCAAAATGCATTGGTTTAAGAGCCATATGTTTTCTATTTTGTAAGGCGGAGAAGCATTCTTTTCCTTCTGATTTAAGAATAGGCATACTTGATACACTTTCGTTAAATTTTTGCTCAATGTCTTGAATTTTGAAAAGAAATTTCTTGCAACATTCGGATTTTTGTGAATATTCGCGATTTTGGGACCGAATATTTCGGAAATTTCTGAAATTTCCTGCAAAATTCGAATGGAAATATTCGCTACCAACATCACTATTTACAATTATTACTGGGATTACCTGCGAATTGATTTACCTCGAAATTGTCCGATTTTGATGCCCACTTGCACCGTTTGTATAAACTTCGTTTAAAGGCTAAACGTGATTAACTGTAATAAAAAATATTTTATTACAGTTAATCACTTTAGCCTTTAAACAAAGTTTACACAAACGGTGCAAGTGGGCATGAGAGTTTTATTTAATTTTGAAACCAAGTAGTTCAAATGTACCACAGTCATTTTTCATATGATGCTCTATATCTTGATCCTTTATTCAATTTAGGATATTGGCTTATCTGTTTTTACAATATATAGAAACCACGTAAACGATTTTATAATTCTACAGGGCGAAAACTAAATTTAAGCTGTTTATTTTTTTTGGTAACACAATTAATTTACCTGTATAATGATATATTTAGTTATTGAGATTAATACCATGCTACAACTGGTACCATGACATTTTACGTGATTTTTTCTACAGGTAACCTTCTTTTCCACCTCCGCTCGCACAACAAAGGCCAGCAAGCTGAACGACCTTTCAGATGCGACCTGTGCGAGAAAGATTTCATGTGCAAGGGCCACCTAGTGTCCCACCGGCGATCCCACGGCGGAGAGAAGCCATACAGCTGTCAGGAGTGCGGCAAATCGTTTGTGGAAAAAGGCAACCTTCTCAGGCACAGCCGCAAACACATATTGGACAGGGAGAAGGCTGAATTGGCTGAGCAGAATATGAATGCACAAAGTAAGGATTGAGTAATAACAAAATTATGTTTAAGCATAGGTGCCCGGTGGCGTAGAGGTACAGGTTCTCGTCTACCAATCTCACGGTGTGGGTTCGATTCTCACACCCGGCATTTCATCAGCCGACTATTTTTATTAAAATAAAAATAGTTTGTGTACCTAGGTCGACTCAGCCTTAAATGAGTACTTGGGATTCACAATCCTGAGGTAATAATAGGCGGTTGAAGCGTAGTGCTAGCCACATTACCTTCCTTGTATATTGAACGGCTCTAGTATAGCAAGCTGTACCTTGCTACTCTCAAGGCGTTAAACGCTATATACGGGAGCTATTATTATTATATGTTTAAGCATGAGCGATACCGTGATTTTTTAATAGAGAAAGCTGGCATAGATAAAATCGCAGTTTTAACTAAACAAATCGCCGTTTTAATTTCAAATTTGTCAAACAAAACTTACAGAATTAAACTGAAAATTTTAAATGTCAGATTATAATCGAAAAAATGGCAAATATCAGGATCTGCAAAGAAAAATCTCATGACAATCGGCAACATTTGCCATGACTACCAAATTAAAGCCTTTTTTTATCGGCCAATTCGTTTACTCGATGTGACATGCGACAGCATGCTATCTTTTTAAACGGTTTTATTTAGCTCGACCCGTACGGTATTTATTTATTTGTTTGTTTATTTGGGTCAAAATTAGAAATTGAAATTTAAGTACCTTCCTGTTGTCAGATTGATCTGAAATTTGGTACACACCTTTAGTTCCGATGACAATACAATATAGTAATATCAATAACATTGTAAATCTAAGATGGCCGCCGGTACAAAATGGCGGATTTCATATTTTTCCACAACCCCCTCAATATGGGTATCAAATGAAAGGGCTACACAAGTAGAATACTGTGATTATGACAAAATTTAAAATCCAAGATGGACGTCGTTACAAAATGGCGTATTAGGTGAGGGCATGAGCAGTCGTGTCCAGAACAGTTGTGTCCAAGATTGTGTGACGTTAGAAGGACAGATAAAAAAAATAGGTGATTAGATGTATCTACGTAGTTAGCGGTAGCTTTACCACCCAAGTTAAGGTAATAGGTTAAAATGTGCTGAGGACTGTATGGCATTAGGGTGGCTAAAAATGTAATGTCGCAAGCGTTTCCCCTCAAGATTGGGCGCCTCTTGTTGTATATTATAGCCTTGCCCCTCCACTGGACCTCTGGGGGGGGGGTCGACCGTTAAAATGTCCATTACTCGTGGGAACAACATGGAAACAATAAATAAAAAAAAACAAACAAAAATAAAAACGAAACTGCTACACAACGAAAAAGAAGGCTCGAAAAGGCGAAAGAAAAGTATAGAACGAAACGTGCAAAAGAAAGTGAAAATGAAACCTATAGTCGACTACAGAAACGAAGAGAACGGTTAGCAACAGAAACATCTGAGCAACATGATGCCAGGTTAATAGCACAACGTGAGAGACAAAGGCAGCTGATAGAGTCAGAAACACCTGAGCGTCATGAGTCCCGGCTAGCATCACAACGTGACAGACAGAGAGAGTTGTTAGCGGCAGAAACACCTGAGCGTCATGAGTCTAGGCTGACATCACAACGAGAGAGACAAAGAGAGTTGTTAGCGTCAGAAACACCTGAGCGTCATGAGTCTAGGCTAGCATCAAAACGCGACAGACAGAGAGAGTTGTTAGCGTCAGAAACACCTGAGCGTCAGATTGTAATAAATTATCAGGTAAAAAACCATGTAATAATTATGCACTAAATGAATTAAATAGAATGAGGAATATTCGTAGGCATTTCCGTTAAATACTAAAACTAGAAAATAAAATCGGTAAAAAAACTTTAAGTTAATGGTTTTATTTATGTGCACTGAAAATTAGAAAATAATAATAACAATTAGGTAGTTCAGAAATATTTTAGTACTAGGTAGAATAGCTTTTAAGCATATTAGACTAAAATAAAAACGTGGGGCCCATTAACTATTGCTGTAATACTTTCTTCTATACTAAGTGTGGATTGCATCGACTTACTATAATCGTTACTGGAGATTTTGACAATCAATAACCAGCCGTGGCGGTTTCACCAGCGAACGCCGAGCTCATGATCTACCAAAGTATAAAGATATGCTTTGTTATAGGTAGGATTTCAGAGGGGCCCACGTTTTTATTTTAGTCTAATATGCCTAAAAGCTATTCTGCCTAGTACTAAAATATTTCTGAACTAGAAGTTCAAAATACCTAATTGTTATTATTATTTTCTAGTTTTCAGTGCACATAAGATAAAACCGTTTGACTTAAAAGTTTTTTTACCGATTTTTTATTTAACCCTCAACTGGCGTGGTGAGGTCTAGCGGACCCGAAGCAATATTTAAACTTCTGTAAAATTTTTATGTTTAACATTTAGGCCTCGCCGCGCCATTTACCTTTAAGTTAGGGTACTAATATGCAACTGTTAAAGGCGTACTTGTTTTTATCAAGTATTGTTCCTTTCAGCGAGGAGGTAAAGTTCCATCCCACACTAAAATATTTCTATTTCCTTCTAGATACTGTCCAGCCGCAACAGCAACAGAACCAAAACAACGCGAACCTGCAGATCGCTCAGGTTCCGGTCAACCCGCCCCCTCAACAGCAACAACAGCCCCCTCCTAGTAACATAGTTCAAAGCGGGCATCTCATGCACACATCCAACCACCATTCTGTCGTAGTGCCTACCAACGGTAACGTTCTAGCGACCTACTAGAGGCAAGATCAGTTTTGGAATTTATAATATTAGCAACTTTAGTTGGCTGCATTGCCGAAAGTATTTATTATCGTTTTTATATGGTATAAGAAGCAGTTTTTCGTGTTCAACCAGTTCACTTTTTATTTAAGTCTGTCTAATGAGAAGATACCTGACAATTGTTGTCATTTTAATTCGGAGGTACATTATATTTTGTCGTTTGTCGAAATCTTTTTTACTTCTTTGGACAGACTTTACTTCCATTCATGTACAGGGTAATCCAGCGTTTCAATAAAAAAAATCCTGTTGTTTCTAGTTTGAGATTTTTAATTCAATTTTTTTTAGAAATCATGAAGACAAGGATAACACACATTCTAAAGCTTGGAAATATTTTAAAATAAGTATTTTTTTCAAAACTAGGTATACCAAAATACACTATGTTGTGCGTGGCATATATAGAGTGAGTCGAAACTTGATTTTTTTCCATACTATTTGAAATGGAACACCCTTTAGTGTATGACATAAATGAACGTTTTCGAGAAAGTATTTTAAGACATCTGGCTCGTTGATATATCTTTTACTATGCTCTCTGGAACAGCATGCGGCCCGTCTGGCTGCCGATACCCGTTGCGTTCACTACTGCGCATCAGAAGAAGATCCTATATTTTTTATTAATTTAGTCCTATAAATTCTAGTATTGAATATAAATCGAACATATCTCCGACCACGAACCAATGATTGAGAGTTCGAATCCGGGTCAGGGCAAAGACTTTTTTATTTTATTTTTTTGTTTATATTCTGATAGTAAAGTATTAAATAATTCTGGTGATTAAAAAAAAACAAATATTTAATAGAAAAATTTACTTTACTATCAGAATATAAACGAAAATAGAATAAAAAAGTATTTGCCCTGACCCGGATTTGAACTCTGAATCATCGGTTCGTGGTCGGAAACTCTACGCACTGCGCTATGGAGACATGTTCGATTTATATTCAATAGTAGAATTTAAAGACTAATAAAAATATAGGATCTTCTTTCAATGCGCAGTAGGGAACGCAACGTTTACCGGCAGCCAGACGGACCGTATGCTGTTCTAGAGAGCATAGTAAAAGATATATCAAAGGGCCAAAGGTCTTAAAATACTTGTTTTCCGACGTTGCTAGCTCTCGTACTATTATGTTTTGATATATTATTCTTATATCCAAAATCGATGTTTATACACTATTTGTTTTTGTTTTACAATAAATATTTCTGGCTGCGTCAGTATAATAAATAGAATTTATTAATTATCCAAGGGAAAAATTCATTATTGAGTTAATTGATTTCAGATTTATTTTATATATATAGAGCTTTTTGGGAACGCTGGATCACCCTGTATAAATAAGCGTGTGAAGGGGATGAACAGTTTAGATTATGGTGGATCGTCTAAGGAAAAACTGCTTATTTGTAAGAACAAATATTTTGAAAGAATATATTAATGTTTATTTGATATCTTGGACGGTTTGCATCAACATTTTGTATCATTTCATTTGATGGGTAATATATTTCATTAATTTAATGCCTAAAAATACAGTGTGATCAATACAAAAAAAATACAGAAATCAAAGATGGGCGTTTGTTCGGAAATATGCCCGGACATGCTGCGCTTGTTTGATGCAAGAAGATTTTTATACAAGAGTGTCCAAAATTTGAGATATGTCTTCATCCACAATTTTTTAAGCTGCAACCTAATTTTTTCCAATTTCGGCTTTTTTAATGTCAATCCTTTTTAAAAAGAGGCTATCATTGTGATTTTAGGTTACCCTGTATAACCTTTACAGGAAAACGACAAGTGGAAAAATGTACAATAAAAAATATATTTTAAAAATTAATGAATAATTATCTTTTGATTTTTTTCTCGATTTTTTATTTACGTTCTGTATATTAAAATAATACAAAATGTTAATGCAACAAAAATTTTACTGAACTGCTACATTTTAAATAGTTACAAAAAAACGGCGTCTGAGTTAGCTTGGAGATGAAGATCGCTGTCATTTTATATGTAAAATTGGCTACATTGGCAATTTCCAAGCCAATTTTTCGCCGTTTTTTTGATTATACGGTATTTCAAAGCCGTAATTTCAGTTGTTTATGAAATTTTAGTCAGAACATTGGGGACAAAAGCTGTTTACTTTCAAATTAACGTTTATTTAGATTTTTTATATTTTAGGGTAACAAATGGTTGTTTTCTTCCAATGTGGTAAATTCCAAAACTGTCTTGGGTACTACTTACTAGAATATCATGTGATATATTGCAAAAGTTTAACGACTACTTGTATTACAATTTTAATTAGAAATTAGCTTAATTGAAGAATGGATGCCTAAAGTTATGCACTTAAAAATGGAACATGTCTTCTAATTTTTGAATTAGAATGGAAATTATTAATAATTTTATTTCTTACCGAATTAAAATAAGCTTGAATACAATAGAGATTTTGAGTAATAATATAAAATGAAAATGGACACTCATCTAACTACTCTAATATTTATTATTATAACTATAAATTAAAATAGCATGTAATAAAGTGATAGATCTCTCTCAAAGACATTATAAAGATAGACCGAACATCTCATTCATAAATACTCGTTGGTAGTGTATCAAACATTCCAATGTGTCAAACAAGGACAGAAGAGATAGAAAAGTCTAAAATTTCCGACCCCGGCAACTAGGCGCATTTGGATTGTTCTAATGGCCAGTGGCGTATCGTTTTATGGAACGAATTTAATTAGTAAAGTAAAAGTAAAGTAATTAGTAAATTTTTTACTCCATATTAATATACTATATTAACACTTTTTCGTCAGATGACTTTTGTTAGAAGGTCTAATATAATAATATAATTAATATCCCACATATACTTATGTTGAAACGTTAGTAGTTTTCGAAAATCGCTCCAACGTCGATTTTCAATTTTAACTTTCAGCACAGTTTGAAGAATATAAATATTTTCAGTTACTTCTATATAAACTTTCAGTTACTTGAATATTTACAGGGTGACTCAAGATGCCGAAACAGTTCTATATTAGGTTTCAATGGTTGGTGACTTTTCTTTCATTTTTTTTTTAGAATATGGAGGCAGTGGTAAAGCACATTTGAGATATTTTTGTAAACATAGGTGGCCGGAACATATTTTCAAAATAAAGTTATAGATTTGCCATTAAAATTCCATTCCAGAAATACCTAGGGTTGCCACCTGTCCTTCTTTGAAAATACCCCTGCCTCCCGCGTACAAAATGGGATACGATTTCCTTAAGCTCCGATTCATTAATAACCGATTGTATCAACGAAGTTGAGTTGCCCAAGGGGCGTCCGCTGGCTAGGTAGCGGTGGAGAGGGTTCCCAGGGGGTTCCAAAGTCCGTAAAAAAATAGAAATCCGGAACGATTTCCTTAAGCACGAAACTCTCACGAGAAGAACATTATGTTCCATAAAGTATCCTAGATATGGTCCGCTGGCTGGGCGGTGGTGGAATCCACGTCCGCTGATGGATCCAAAGAGGCTAAAAACGTAAATTTGAAACCACATCCTCTAAGCTTGAAATTTTGATGGAAGCTTACATTTTTATTGACATTTGCGAAAATAATCGTCCGCTGCCTGTATGTGGGTGGAAAAGTCGTCCGCTGGTGGGTAAAGGAAGATAAAGGGTACCGAACATAAACGCGTTATGATGCACAAGCGGACGATATTTCCACCGACATACAGGCAGCGGATGATTGTTTTCGTAAATCTCAATAAAAATATTACCTTTCATCAAAATTTCAAACTTAAGGAAATGATTCTCGACAATCTATTCACAAAAAACATACATGGAAAACACGAGAGGTTGAATCATAATTTAATCAGTCGACTAAAATTTACTGTACGACTGTAAAATATTATATTATTGAGTAACTATGTAGATAAAAATATTAAACAAAAAATTCCAAAAAGTTTAATCATCATCTTCCTCATCACTGTCATTATCAGATACATCACTGTCTTCATCCTCTTGTGATAATTCATCTTCATCCGCCTCATCAGTGCCTAGAAAAATAAGTATTAAATATTAGAATGGCATGAAAAGCAGAAATTAATAATAATTTGAATAAGTACCTTCAGCATTTGTATCTTCTTGTGTGATCATTTCCACTGATGACGGTAGCTGATCGCCCTCGAACCATTTGCACACAAATTTTCCGTCTTCAAATTGCCAACCATACTCGAGTGGATCCAAATTTGGAGGCTCCTTTTTGAAGGCGTTTTTCCAAATATTGGAGATCAAGATGGTTCTACGAAGGTGTTGAGTTAGTTCCGATTGTGATGGCGGCAAAAGGGAACCATCAAAATTTTTATTGGGCAATTGCAATCTATTTTCCTCTTCACTGAATTTATAAATTTTCATGAACATTGCCACCCGACCGTCGTTCACTTTATCAATTGATTTGAATCCATACATAGCGCATACAAATTTTTCTATTGTAGCGAAAATTTCATCAGCGTTGTCAGTGTTCATATCATAAAAAGCTTTCAAAAACTCTGGACTTCTTTTCAAAATTGAAAATGGTCTTACTTTCCCTTTCTTGAAAAACGCGGGATTGTAGTCGCAGCCTGAAAAGGCGTGAAAAGATGGTAAAGCGCGACACACGTTCTTCCCCAGAGCTGAATATAATTGGTTAACATTTAAAAACCTCTCTCTATTTCCAGTGCCTAGTTTTATCCAAACTCTAACTTTATTCTTGAAATTGTGCATGTTACCAAGCACAATTATTGGGATATCCGAATCTGATGTTCTGACTACTACATTTTTGTCATCATCAAGCTGGCAAATATGGAAAACAATCTTAGTGTCTGCTTCTTCATGACCTGGACAGGCCAAACTCTGCAGAGTAGTTTTGCAAACTTTGTCATGGACAACGCTGTATTTGTGACATTCATCAGCACTGATGTACACTTCTTTGCTATTGATAAAAGATGCCATTTCGTCGTACCCCCAATGATTTGAGAAAAAGTTTATCAATTCTTCCTTGAAGTTTATGTTTCTCATTTCCCTGGTGAACTCCAAAGGACGTACTTGGTCTGGACCACGTATTTTGAATTGTTGCCCTCTGCTTGTTCCTCGACATTGGTGCGCTGAATCCTTGATGGACGGACTTGGATAGGAGTCAAATAGGACTATGATAGTCGACGCAGTATTGGAAGTAACCATCTGCAGGAACTTCTTCGAGACATTTCCAAAGGTACGTGGCACATCTTTCATAGCATTTAACAAAAAAAAGCCATCAAATATCATGACGTCACAATATGGTGGAGAATCACTTTGTATTTGTTTTTCTAATTCTTTCAGAAGGGTCGACTTGTCTGTTTTGCATAATGTACCGTCCACGTGGGAGAAACATAATGACATAGGTGTTAGCGGATGCGATAAAATTTTGTCAATATCCAGTTTCTTCTCAAGAGATATTCGCAGTAACTGCCCAAATAAGTCCCTCTCCATTCGTACTTCCACTAATTTGCCGGATATAGAACATTTTTTCTTCGGCACCACAGAACTGAAGTTAAGTATTTTGTTTTGTTTTATGGGCCGTTCAAATCTTGTCCTGTCTTCTGAGCATTCCTGTATAAACCTTTCTCGCTGCTCACTTCCAAGCTTTTCGACGTTGATTAGAAATTTGGCAACATCATTTTCAACTGCTCTACCCGTTGAAATATTATATAATAAGTCCTTATTTAAGTCGGTTGCGAAGGGGTTAACATTGTCTTTGATATTTTCAATTATTTCGTACAATGATTTCAAATTTTTCCTCATCAAACTTGCTCGCAAATCTTCAGTTATATCTTGATTTTTTTTCAAACCTGTTCGTTCATATGTGTAGGTGTTAACTGTACTATTTATAGTATGGCACAAGGCCCAACGTTGACGGGCTGAATATGAATTTGTTATATATGAGACTCCTGTCAATTTATTTCCTGCATCAGCATTAGACGTCTGCTCCATGGTGAGATCAGGTGGGATCCTTGAAAAAGATTTATTTGTTCTTCTAACACCAATTGACCCCTCCTCAAAGCTGGTTAGTAAACCCGGATGTGACTCCTCCACTTTCATTAATTTCTCATGATAATAGACCAGATAACGTGAATAATTCTGCTGGTTAAATGTGAAGAACATATTTGTAATACGTGGTAGTACCCACTTAAATGTACAGAAATCAGCCGTCCGTACACTCTGATCCAGAATCAAGTAATAATTTGCTAGTTTAACGTATAGCATGTAATACTGAGGGGTGAGTCCATATCGGCCTTCTAGTGTTTCTTCTGAGTACTTATCATATTTGGAAAATAGACTTATCAACTTTTCTTCCGTAATAGTTGGCCTGCTAGAAACTGTTGATCTAAAATTTAATAAAGCGTTCTTCTCTTCATCCGAAATTTCTATGTTTTGATCTTCTAGAAATCTTTCCATGTGCAATATTTGTATTGCGAGGGCCAAACGAGGATGCAGTCTTCTACATCTATTGTAATTTTTTGATGTCAAAAAACTACTGACGGATCCGCTTGCGATTGCATTTGAATTGACAAGAATGTTCGTCACTCCGCAGTCGTCGATAAACTTTCCCACCGCTTTCAGGTATGCCAGGTAAACATGAAATGTTCCTAGGTGGATGAATATTTTGTCAAATCTCGGTCTTTCAACATACTGAAGCTGGAAAGCGATTTTGGCAATAGCCAAATCGTAGGTGACTTCCATGTACTGTTGATTGCATTCAATGCGGGTTTGTTCACTTATATCAAGAGTTTTTAAAACGACAACAGGTTTTGTTGGAGACTCGTTAATTGTGGTTGTGTATGAAACCTTCTGCTGACTGCTTTTGTCATCGTACAACATACTGTAATATCCAATCCACATTGGCGTTTTGGGCAATTTCAGAAGATGAGACAGAATCCAGGTAAAACTAATATGTTTGAATGGTGTTAAGTCATGTTCATCATTGCTTATACGCAATGTACTGGCAACAGGCTCTAGTGATACTTCTAGCCGAGGCTTCTTTGCATACGATTCCAATTCAAAAGTTATCATATCAAAAGTGCGACGTCTCCTTTTCCTGTCGCCGTCATTTGTAAGTTGTTGATTTTCTTCCGCAGTAGCTGTAGTAACAATATTGGCACTTGAAGGAATATCTTGATATATGATTCCCACAGTATCATGAAGAGTGTCCTTACCGGTCAGCGTTTGAACAAACCGATCGAAGTTGTCGAATGCTAAACATGTACGTAAAGCAGGATTTCTCAAGATTCCTTCCGGACAAATTGTGCTTTTCTTAACGGCACAGTAAGTCGCTTCTGTGATTATTCCTGCTAACACATTGTCGCTGACGCAATGACCGTATCTGTTCACGATGTTCACAGCTTTCTGACTATTCGTAATACTCTTCAACGTTTGGGCCAACGTGATATGTTTAGAAGGTTTAATTCTTCCGTTAGAAGCGGCAAAAATAACGTCTTGTGCTAATGATTCACTGACTCGCCTTTTAGAAGCTATTTTTCGCCGAGTATTCATTGGCTCGAAAATTTTATCGAAAAAATCAATTAACCTTTCAGGTGTCTCACATTCACCAGCGATTATGTCTTCGGGACGGATGTCTGCAGGAAGCTTGTGCACTTTAACCGTACGTAAGATTGACTTGATTACTAGAGCCGCTTCATTTAAAATGTTGTCTTCTTGTAGTCTGTCAAAATCACTGTTCAAAAGGATTGATCCCAAAGGTTGAACCACTTCTTTTTCGTTGAAAACTTCAATCTCAATTTCATGACGAAATATTTCCAATAGCTTTGTCTTTAGGCGCCACGACTTTATCCTGATGGGAATTTCTTGATTATTTGCTTTTACATTTTCTTCATATAATATAACTAGGTATGAAAGTAAACAGCATTCCTTTTTGCAAACTATATGGTCCTTTACGTACTCCTGTACAGTCTTGAATGCTAACTTGTGCAGATCTCTGTTGTGATGCCATTCAGTTTTATTCTGCGTAGATCTTCTAGCAGAATCCGACTTCGTGCGGTATGCTAAATGACAGGCATTGTGGTATAAAAAATACCCTTCCGAAGCCGTAACTTTCTGAAGCCTATCAATTGTTAAAATGTCATTTTGTTCTCTTGCAATATCTAGAAGTTCATCAATAGTTTTCTTTGAGGTTCGCGTATGAAGAGATTGTTCATTGCCTCTATATTTTTTTCTTTTTTGGTTGCAAAAGAAGCAGGCACCGGAAGCAATTGATTCGTCTCTTTCTGGCTCGGCGATTACTCCCATAACTCCCTGATCGCTTAAACTGCAATAGTAATGGAAATTAGGTACAATAAAAATTTGAAAATAAACTCTAATTTTTTCTTACCATGATGATTCATCCAGCTCTACTTTTGAAGGTGACTGCTGCGTAGCTGCAGAATCCCCTAAATCTTCTTGTAATTCTAATAACCTGAAACATGTAAGTACGCTTAATTAAAAAAACAACAAAATATGTTACTTACCCTGATGAATCTTCAGCTTCTATATTTGAAGTAGAAGGAACTTCATAAACACTGAAATATTAAGAATTGGTTAAAATAATATAACTAAATAATTATTCAATGTAAATATGCGATGGTAGGTGCGGCGCGGCGTATACTTACATTGGTGAATCCTCTTCTTCAAGATTTGAACTAAACTGCGGACCTGCATCAACACTGAAATATCAAGATTTTGTTAAAATATACATACAATGATGAAATAATATCTACTACTCTACTTATAATTCATTTCACTTACTTGGCGTTTTTATCCAGCCCCTTTCTATATTTTGGAGGTAGAGCAGAAAAAACAGAGTAACAATGAGAATGATACCGTTGAAAGTCAACCACTTCCTTCGGTAAATTAACATCGTTCCATTTCAAAATATGCATTTGCCGAACGATCAAAATTTCCTGACATTTTTTCAATGATGTTTCCGTGAAGGATTTTAATTTATCCTTTTTCTTTAAACAAAATACACAAAACTTTTCGATTTCAGACATATCTAACCGGTAAATAATTCTGACGAGCCCGAAAACGTAAAAAAACCGTCTTTTTATTCGGAAGATGCCCGCAATCACTGACGGCGACGTGACGTCTGAGTTATTATTATTGGCAACGCCACCTGTAATAATAAATAAACATCAGATATGTTTCTTCAGATATTACGTAATGTCAAAAATGTATGAAATATTTTTGGAGATTTACTTGTGCAGGATTAATAAAATGATTAAATTTTATTATTTTTATTAATTTAACCATTTTTATTATTTTATTAATTTAACCATTAAAATGGTTAAATTCTAGTTTTTTAGGACTAGAGATTCGTGGGGATACAGTTTTGATTCTTCTTCTTTACAAAGGGAAATAGGAATAATTTTATTATATTTTTATTTATAGTTTTTATAAATGGATTAAATTAATTTCATCTGAATCACTCCAATCACTTAAATAAATATATACGATGCTACATAGTTACCCAATAATATAATATTTTACAGTTATTAAAATTTTAGTCGACTGATTCAATTATGATTCAACCTCTCGTGTTTTCCATGTATGTTTTTTGTGAATAGATTGTCGAGAATCATTTCCTTAAGTTTGAAATTTTGATGAAAGGTAATATTTTTATTGAGATTTACGAAAACAATCATCCGCTGCCTGTATGTCGGTGGAAATATCGTCCGCTTGTGCATCATAACGCGTTTATGTTCGGTACCCTTTATCTTCCTTTACCCCACCAGCGGACGACTTTTCCACCCACATACAGGCAGCGGACGATTATTTTCGCAAATGTCAATAAAAATGTAAGCTTCCATCAAAATTTCAAGCTTAAGGAAATGGTTTTCAAATTTACGTTTTTTAGCCTCTTTGGATCCATCAGCGGACGTGGATTCCACCACCGCCCAGCCAGCGGACCATATCTAGGATACTTTATGGAACATAATGTTCTTCTCGTGAGAGTTTCGTGCTTAAGGAAATCGTTCCGGATTTCTATTTTTTTACGGACTTTGGAACCTCCTGGGAACCCTCTCCACCGCTACCTAGCCAGCGGACGCCCCTTGGGCAACTCAACTTCGTTGATACAATCGGTTATTAATGAATCGGAGCTTAAGGAAATCGTATCCCATTTTGTACGCGGGAGGCAGGGGTAAAAGGACAGTCCTTGTTTGGAATAACTTGCCTTTTGACTTAAAAATTCATTTTTTACGTATTTTCTCTGAGAAAATTACCTACAGCAAACAGAAATATTCTTTTCGTGCAAATTTAATTAGAGATGTTATAAAACTTATAAATAATTTTTTCTTGTTTAGAATAGGCAACATTATTTAGAACTTCCCCTTTAATCTCAAATGATAGTTTAGGTTTTAGTTTTACCTTTTGATCTTAAAAAGAACTTTTTCAAAATTAGTAATTAGTAACTATTTAGTTAGTTCGCAATCGATAGCTAACCCCCCCCCACTCATCCTGTTGTTTCATAGTACAATGTCCTTTTTCTACTTTGCACAACGGTGGCTACTTTACAAATACCCTCTCTTAAAGCCCTCCCAAAATTCTAAATTCAAATAATTTTTAAAACTGTTTACTGTAAACTACATAAAATTAAACAATTACTTCCTGTGAAGTACTGTGTAATAGTTGTTTAATCTTATATTTTTTATAATAACTTCCTATACCTAAAATCAATATTTAATGAGAAAATTGTGTTTTTTTTGAAAATATAAGACAAGATTTGACTTTCGTCCGCGACGGACCGTCCGTCGTGTTTTTTCAAGATAGCCGCCGGACGAACTCCGTCGGACGGAGCATACGCGCCCATGTGAAATTGTTCATATAAACTCATGGTACTTGCTCGAAGTTGCGGCCGCTCCGCTCCATCTGAAAGCTCTGTAATCTGTAAAGCAATAAAATGTAAAAAAGGTCGGGTAAAATAAAATATAAAAAAGTATTTTAAGAAAAAAAATGTCACTTTCTGGCTTATAATAAAGTTTCAAATGCAACGTTTATATTCAAATTTGTTATGATCTACAACAGTTAGTAATTGAGACGAATTATAATTCAACTACCGGCTACTACGTTTCTGTTTTAATAGATCAAAATTCAACAAATATACCTAATTAGAAATTATTGTGAGAGGCTCCCTTGTGGGAGGCCTATGTACAATTACGGCGGAAAAAACAATACCTACCTGTGAAAAGACAAATTCGGGTTATTTGAGCATATTTTTCCACACACTTGACACTGTCGTACCATAATGAAAATTCGCAGATTCAAAAGTACGTTAAACAAAAATAAAAATAACTGAAAAACACTGAAAAGTTCACTTCGGACTTGATTCCGACTTCAAACACATCGTAAGCTAAACGTAGTACGCTATAACGGACCCACGGCCGTCGCGAGGGGTGGTGGGACGGACGGCTCATTTTATTCTGGAAGACTAGCAGCGACGTTGCCAATAGTTCTAGACGTTTCAGCACATTAATAAACTGTCCTTTAATTCGCATATAAAATATCCTCTGGTTAATAACATATTATTACGCATGCTTCTTTAAAAATAAAATATTAATTTAATTAAGAAATTAAGATTTATTGATATCCGGTGAAGGTTTTAAAGTCACCTTTTCTGCAAATCAAACTAAGTAGATAGGCGCAAATTTGATATGTGGCAATGTCGCCTTCTCTATCTCAATTGGTTTTTACAGTACGTCGTCAACCTCCGATTGTTTGATCGGGTTAAAATGCAAAATGTTATATCTGTTCTTACTAAATCTATGATCTCTCTACATATATTTAATATTTTACTTTATTTTTATTAATTATATTTTTGTGGAAGTGCAATATTTGGGCAGCATTCTTTAATTACTCAAGGGATCAATTACTATTTTACTTCATATCATGTAGCGATATTTTGTAATATAGAGTGTAATAGACACTATCCTTTTTTATATATAATAAGCGTGTACAGGGTGTTTGTTTTCTCGAAAAACATTTGGCAACACGACCAAAGCACTGTGTGTTAAAAATTATACCGTTGGGTTATTTGAACTACTGAGTCAAAATCTGCCTTCCATTTCGTGTGTACTATACTATCGGAAAGAAAACGGCGTCAGAGTTGGCTTGGAAATGACCATCGCTGTCATTTTGTATGTAAAATCACTCCGTTTTTTTTTCGATTATAAGGTATATGATTCTAGCTGATCTCAATTTAGTCGCTTATGAAGTCGCTATTATTTATGTATGAATGGAGCATAAATAATGATCTGACTGAATTTAGATCAGATAAACATTATTTTTCAATGGAAGGCAATTGGAAGTTGTATATACAGGGTGATAAAGTTTTTTGAATCAGGGTTTTAAGGTAGAAACAAAATTTAACAGTCATGTTAAATGTTTTGCTATAAAAAAACTGACAACATTGTGTATATACAACACTCAACACCTGTGATTGTGTTAAGTGTTATAGAGGGCTAAATTTACGTAGTGTAATATTGACTTTGATCTAAGGAAATGTGTGTCAGAATATTAGATTTAAATAAAAAAGAAGTTTCTAATGTAAAAATAAAGAATGGTTACACAAACGTGTTAAAATGAGTTGTAAGATAACGTATTAAATAATGCCAGAGAGTTTTATTTATTGGTATGTGATGTTTAACTTTTAGAGGTATAAGTTTTAGTTAGTAATTTATATTTTTCCTAGCACAGGTTATTATATATGTAACTATATATAAAGAAATATGGAATTTAGCTACTAAAGGTATTTTTGAGGTAATATTTATTTGATAGTGTACGAATAATACAAACTTTTATACTTATGGAGTTTTTAAAGAGGTAAAATATACCAATAATATCGGTGAATATTATAACAGGCTTCAAGTCAAAAAGCATTATTTTATTGTTATAAAGTTTTTTTCTACAGGGTTTGACAAAAAGTTGGAAACAAATTAGAAAACTTTTATTGATTTTTTCCTTTGAATAAGAAGACTAAGGAAGGAGCATAATGCTATCCATGTATTCATGCATGGTGGGCGGAAAAGCCACCATAAAAGCTCTCTAGGGTGGTGATCCTTGACAGTTCTGTTTGACGATTCATTTGACACATTTGAATTTGATTTGAAATTTTGTGGATTTGTCAGTCTTTACGGAGCTTATTTTATGTTATTTATTATTTATTCTACTACTGACAGTTGTTTAAAGGTAGTAAATCTAGATGAAAATTGTGGCAGAACTTAAATTAACAGTGACACTATCGCGATTTATCGAAAAAGACTCTAAAATAGTTGGTTGTGTAGCGTGCGGTAGATCTCGGCAAAAATTGAATGAAATAATGGAACAACTTTTCGTAGCGTATCGGATGTTTGTGTTAATAAATACTTATTATAACTTATCTATTTTTATTAGAATTATATATTTTTATAACAATTTTAATAACTACCAACATTTATTCACAACGTAAAATAAAACAACAAATTATTGAGTCTACCCCACGTCTACCCTACATCATAGTTTTACATTTTTTAAATAAAATTAGAACGACACTGATAAACCGGAATTTAAGTCGGCCATATTTGAGGCCCATCGCGGTGTACCTAAGATTTTTGATATGCTCCTTCCTTAGTCTTCTTATTCAAAGATTTTTTCTGAAAATAAATTTATACCGGGTGCGTCTCGAAAGTGGCTCACCCCTATAACTTTTATATTTTTTCAGATAAAAAACGAAATTTGGTATGTTAGTATACGACATAAATTAGGATTGATTGACGTATTCAATTGTTTTCGGTCACTTCCTGTTTCACCGGAAATTATAACTTTTGATTTATAAATTGCACCCTCGGTATTTTTTACTTTATTCGATAGAAAATGACACTCTGAATAGAATGGCATATCATATGTCAACTTTTGACATTTTCGCTTAAAAACAAATCGAAGAGAGAACTTCAATCTAGAGTGCCATGGCTGTGTTAAAAACACTAATTTTTAATCAAGGAACTTTGGAAAAATAGATTTGATTGTCTAATATTTTTCGTGTCTTGTTCTGGCCTTTTAAAACATGCCCACATCGTATTTTTCATCATATCTCAATTTTTTCAAAGGGAACGAGGATGGCTCATTAGGATATTTGGAAAAAGGATTTTTTTACGAATAATTTGGTATCACACATTGGTATTTCGAGTCAAATTGTCGTTATGAACCGCATTTTAAAATTTCATATAAGCCATATGCGAAAATGCCAAAAGTTGACATATGAAATGTCATTATATTCAGAGTGTCATTTTCTATCGAATAAAGTAGAAATATACCGAGGGTGTTATTTGAACATCGAAAGTTGTAGTCATTTCCGGTGAAACAGGAAGTGATCAAAAACAATTGAATACGTCAACAATCCTATTATATGTTATATACTAACATACCAAATCTCATTTTTCTTTCTGAGAAAATAAAAATTTTTTTCGGGTGAGCCACGTTTTGAGTGGATATTCAAGGATTTGAGAGTATATTCAACAACAAAAATAAAGTCATTTTGACATATTATGTCATACTGATTCTTTTTTGTAAATGGGAATTCTGAATAAATTCCGCATCATTTTTTTTTCAATAATTCGATAATAAAAAATACGATTTTGTTGAGAAATTTTTGGCACACGCTGTAGATGTAATGAAATGATTGGGACAAAGTATATTTATAACTTATCAATATAATTTTTTTTAAGAAAACGTACTTTATTTTATACTGGCCATTTTAGGAATACGAGTTATACTTATTGTTGGAATTTTTTTCTAAGTAAAAAAATATAATCTATTTCATTAGGGTGGGAATTTAAGTGACATTTTTATTTATACACCCTGTAGAAGGCGGGTTGAAACAGAAAATTTAAATGAAATTAACATAAAATTTGTATTATTTATTTTTAATTAGAGTTCTAATAAGTATGATTATATCATGATTTTATCATATTTATTAGAACTAGAATAGAAGAATAATTATTTTTTATGTTTATAATATTTACTTTTTACAGGGTGTTTCAAAAACATGTGCTATCTCTCGTGGAGAGATTCCTTTCGTAAAAGTAAGACTTATTTTTCATATTAATACACATAGCTCCGATTCTGCTTTGCTTCATAGCTACAGGCTACAGGGTGTTCAAGTCTTCATCTTTTTTCGATTTATTATTATTTTCTTCCAAGTGCTTTTCGCGATTCGAATGAAATTTTGAGGGTAAAAGTTACTATAAGTGCGACATATTTTAATGCTATAAAAAGTGTCGTCATATTCACCAGGGACGAACCATTGGTTATCACTGGAATATTTTGCTAAAAAAGTATGTGCGCCACTGACTTTTCTTTCTTTTGTTAGCAAAATTGTGTAGACCGTTAAATGCTGATCAAAACTTATGTCTTGATATTTTGTCGATTTCGCTCTCCTTTATGAGATAAACGCAATTTAATTAATTTGCCTTAATCCAATTTTAGGAAAGCAATCTTTCAAAATTTTAATGCCATTAACTTGCCAAAATGTTAAATATTGATTCCTTCATTCATCGATTCCTCATCAAAAAATATAAAAAAAAGTTCCTATAAACATGGGTGCGGAAATGCATAGTTTTAAAATTACAGGATAATAAAACTTTTAAAAAGTAGGCCTTTTGTAATCATCTTAAATACCATTATTTTTGAGAGGAATTTGCTGTAGGCAGCACTGTACATCAGTGTTATAAATTTTAATAAAATTCAGTAATAAATTACAGTAAATAAATAATTTATTAATTTTAATTTAATTATTTGTGATCGATAAAATTGTGTTTATCTCATCAAGGAAATCGAAATGGATATAATATCAAGAGACAACTTTTAATCAGCATTTAACGGTCCACACAATTTTGCTAATAAGAGGAAAAAAGTCAGTGGCGCACGTTTTTTTAGAAAAATATTCCAGTTATAACCCATATGCACGCCCTTTTTTTAGCATTAAAATAGGAGCACTTATAGTAATTTTTACCCTCCAAATTTCATTAGTATCGGCTAAAAGCACTTGGAAGATAATTATAATAAATTGAAAAAAATTAAGACTCGTAATAAAAAATAAATCTTATTTTTACGCGAGGAAATTCCCTACGAGACATAGTACATTTTTATGAAACACCCTGTATACAGTATGTTACTGATTTGTTGATAGATCTGATTACTAGAAAATCATTTAATATAGAAATTACCTTGAATATTATTTTTATTTACATTCTTACTCTATATTTATTTTAGTCTATGTATAATTTATTTCTTCGAGTCTTCATCCTATAGAAACTATAATAATTTTTTTATTATACTTAGTAAAAATAAATTTAATATCCTAGAAAACTAACTAGAAGCCTCGGAATTGTTTTTTTACATAAAAGCGACTTTATTTTATATCCTATTATCGATAGTTTTTATTTACATGTGCCAGTTGTTTAGGAATCTTATGTATAATTAACCTAAATCCTCGGAAGACCAAACTTTTTTTATGTATATATTTTCGAATTGATGATTTTTTTTTATTTTTGGGGGTATATAGCAGAGAAATTATTTTTTTAAAGTTAACGATACTTGTGTTGTTTTTATAGAGTACTTTTAAACGTGTAAATATTTATAAAAGAAAATAAAGAATAGTTTTAGATTGAAATCATGCAGTTGTTTTATTTCAAAGTTTTTAATTTAATTGAAATAGATTTTAAATTTTAGGTATAATCTGTTCAGCGAAAAATATATGGTTTCAACTTCGACTGATGCCATCTACAAAGTGTAAAGAAACAGTATATTTTTTAATATAGTGTTGCGGACCCGTGTGGACTCAGCCTAACCGGACTAATATATAGATAGAGAACGGCGGCTAGATTCAAATAGAAGATCGTGCTGGGACCGTGAGAACCTGCAGCTTTGATGACTTTATGGTCCGGTACAACATCAGTGAGAAGGCTCGCTATGGTGTGACCAAAGAAAAACAACGGGACCTCTTTTCCTTGCCTCCTGATTATTGGCTCGCTCACTGTGGCACGAGATTTGCGAATGTCCAAAGGAATAGCTGCGACGTCCAATCAAAAGTGTGGGCGTGTCGGAGAACTACGCCGACAGGATCCAGAGGTTGGAAGCGTCTTGAGGCTAACCGACAATGCGCATGGTTAAGCAAGACACATCTTCTACCTAGTCACCAAGGAATAGTCACCGAGTAAGCCGACTTATCTCAATCTATGGAAGACCTTGATTGGACTAAGAGAAGCCCTGCTAAACAACATTACACGATTAGCCATTCCGAAGCTGGCGTGTGGACTAGCTGGTTTGAGTTGGCGTACAATCCGGAACATGATTGAAGTCTTGTATAGATTTACGGGAATCGAGATTCTTGTTTGCTGCTACAACCCAAAGCTGAGATCGGGCGAGAAAACTGTAGACTGCTATTTCTACCAGACTTCTCAATGTACCGGGGGTCAGCTTTGCACATACCTTCATTCACCATGTACATCGCGGGACGAGCATGTATCTAAAAAGGGAGCAGTGTTGCGGACCCGTGTGGACTCAACCTAACCGTACTAATATGCCCCGCCCCATTCGAGAACGGCGGCTAGACGCATATAGAAAATAGTAGTAAAATCTAGACTGTTTCTCTAATACATAAACTGACGCCTGGGGCCTGAGGAGGACAGAAACAAATAGACCGGTCGACCCGTACAATTGCCGCGCTAAATTCAAAATAAATTCCTTTTAAATAAATAGTTGTAAATAAGTCATAAATAGTTCTTTAAGTAGTTTTATCGTTATTGTTTTGTTACTTAGTGTAAAATAAATTGTGTTTAAATAAATTAGACTTTCTATCCACACGGAACCGCCGAAAAACGTAACAATAGTTATAGCTCGATCCCTACTTGGTGTTACAAAATTGTCGCCAAAGAAAAGTTAACCGCCCTGTATCTCAAAAGTTAAGATTTTTAGGACATAATGAAGTTTTTTTTCCTAGAATCCAAGAATTTACCCGCTTAAATATCAGCTTGTCATTAAGGAACAACCTGGATAGGTATTTCTAAAAAGTAATTGTTGGTTTCTATCACTATGACATTTTGTAAATATACAATTTCAAAAATGAAAAGAACCGTGAATTTGAGTGAGGTCAATTCGAAAAACGTAGACGATCTCAATATGAGACAGATAGAAGAACTTATCAAGAAATGCTTCACGAAACAGGAATGGTACAACATGACGTACTTTTGTATAATCCATCTTAGAGTAATGTTCGTTGAATATATAAAGTCTGCCGAATATCGTGAGTAAAAGCAAATAATATTTTCCTGTGGTTTTTAGTAGATATTTAGTTGTATTTTTCTTCTCTCTTTTAAATTGAACACCCTGTATTTTGTAACTGTTATTAAAAATTTAACACAAAATTTTAGATTCGAGGTACACTTTAGAGACCTTTCTAAAGGAAAGTATCAGACCAGACCCCCTATTCAGATCCTTGGATGAATTCTGGTTAAACAGTCCGTACGACCTGGACTCATCAGGATCAGAAATTGAACAGGATATCCCAATAAATCCGGACATTCCTCGAAAACCCACTCTGGAAGAAATCTGGGATGAAAGTGATAGGGAAAACGAACCCCCTGGATCTGTCCTGGATAGGGAGAATTCCAGGAACTGTTTTGACGCTTCCAAGAGAGCTGCGTATAGGAAAGAGATGAGGAGAAGATGGAGGAAACCTTTTAATAAACGAAAGAAGTCTAAATCGAAAGAAAATGAGGTGCCTACTAAGGTTCCTGTAGGATTTAAAAGTACGATTTTTTATTATACGGATATTTTTTTAAGGTTCCTATTTTTTATTATATGTGTACAGGGTTGGTCAATTTGGACGCTTTTAAAGGGAAACCCTTTTCTATAGGAGATAAACAAAAACTAATATCGGTGTCTGGAGCTCAATTTTTATCAAAAACATGATTGTGAAAACTGCACATCAATATCTGTTACCGTTTCGGAGTTACGGGGTGTTTCAAAAATGTGCATTTTTAACAAATCGCTGTAACTTTTTTGCTATGGAAAATTTTGTATTTTTATCAAAACATTTCCAAAGCACCTTTTTACGTAGACTTTAATGGTTTAAGTATAAAATGGGGTGCCCCATATAAAAAATCAAATTTTCTGTTGATAATTCTTAAATTATTAATTTAAAAAAAATATTCTTAAATCACTAAATTCTACGTAAAAAGGTGTTTTATTGGGAATGTTGTCATAAACAAAAAAAAATCATAGCAAAAAGTTACAGCCATTTTTTAAAAATGTACATATTTTTTTGATAAAAATTGAGCTCCAGACGCCAATATTAGTTTTCGTCTATCTCATATAGAAACGGATGTTTCCTTTTAAAAGCGTACAATTTGGCCCACCCTGTACATATTTTTTGAAATCTTATTTTATTTTAATTTGTACTCGGATGTTAAATGCTAAAAAAATAAAATACATAAAATTCTCGCAAGGTAGTTTTATATTAATTATAATTAATAGCCACCTTGCGCGATATTTTTTTATTATTAAAAATCCTCTCATAATTGCATTGGTACATAGAAACATATTATCTTCTGCGAATTTTAGAAAAATATCCATATATTAAAATTAAACTGACCTTGAATATTATAACGTTGTAAAACAAATATGTACGTAAGGCTAGCCCATGGTTAATGTCGATGTATATGGACATTAGAACCATTAAGTGAAAAGCTACATTATAACCACATGTACCATTTGTTTGGTCGATGTACTTTTTGAGCATTTATCGCTTAGAGTGACAAAAAAGATGCGCCAAATGAAAGCTTTAATCTGTGCTTTAATTCTTTAGTATGAAACAGACATTATGTAATTGACGCTCTGAGTTCTACAAATGAACACGGCTTTTTAATACTTTCGATTTAATTTTTGTCAAGTCTCAATATTAAAAAGACCTAATATATCGAATATTATTATTATCATCATCATTCCAGCTTATTCAACCATTTCCAATTATGGTGTAGTTTCTTACATATTTATACAGAGTGTCCTAGAAATAAGTGCAAGTATTTTAACAGGTAGTATAGTTCAACCCCAGAAACAGGCCTATCAGTTTTTTTCGCGAAAAAAAATGTTGAAAATTCGAAATGTTTTGAAACATTTTTTGGATTTTTTTTAGTTTTTAGTTAAAAAACATAATTTCTTGATAATATGGCAACATAAGTATTAGATTAAATTTACAAGAAAGAAAATCCAGAAAAGATCCAGTGGTTCTCAAAATTTTAGCAAAAAATAATTTTTTTTGGAAATTTTCAAAGTAAATTAACTCCGTTATTTTGGACTTATTTGGGAAACATTTTTTGGATTTTTTTAGTTTTTAGTTAAAAAACATATTTTCTTGATAATATGGCAACACAAGTATTAGATTAAATTTACAAGAAAGAAAATCCAGAAAAGATCCAGTGGTTCTCAAAATTTTTGCAAAAAAAAATATTTTTTTGGAAATTTTCATAAAGTAAATTAACTCCGTTATTTTGGACTTATTTGGAAAACGATAAAGAGAAAATATGTTTCTTTTATCGAGATCTCTACCACCCCTTGAAATACTTGCACTTATTTCTGGGACACCCTGTATAATATTCCTGTAAATGGTCCCATTGTTGTCTATTGTTGGCTATGCAGGTTAGGGTTGCCAACTTTCAAAATAAAAAATAGAGGACGAGAGAGTGAAAAGAGGCATAGGCGAAACATTTTTTGAAATTTCGCCCAAAAAACTTGTTAAAATGAAACAAACCATTTTCAACAAAACTTTTTTTTCAAAACAAAAGGTAACAGGAAGTAAACATAAAATAGTTAAATATAAACTTCCACAAATATTTCTCGTACATAAATATTTCTTTTATTTTCTTTTCTGTTCAAACGAGTGGGAGTAGCCAAAGATACAGAATAACAATTTTTTAAATTATTGTGGCGATAGAGGAATATTTTTTAGATTTTGAGTTTGGTATGTAAAAAAGAGGACTTTTTCAATACGTGAGAGAAAAGAGGAGATTGAGTTCAAAAAGAGGACTGTTCTGTTATTCCTATCTAGGAAATGCAATCCCGCACCAAAATCTCAATCCCGCAAACCCGCGGGATTAAAGCAATGAATCCCGCGGATCCGCAAAATTGCGGGATTGTAAACAATAAATGCTCTTCTTTTCTCTCTCCGATTTTGGGATGCGGTTTGGACCAGGTTTTAGACGCATCTATTGTTATTAAGATTCTATGTGGTTTTCGAAAATATATTTAGCGAATTCTCGTATACAGGGTGTTTTATAATAGTGTACAAATTTGGCCAAGAACCTTTTTTACGGAAAATTTACAATTTTTGAAAAATCGAAATTTTAACTATGTATGACTAATCTGTATTGAAATTAGAAAAAAACAATTTGGTGTTTTTTTAAATTTTTTGTTTTAAAGAAAATACGATTTTTTTCGAAAAATATGCATTTATAGTCATACATTTGATCCTAAAAGGCATTGTACATTTTGCATAGGCCCACAATATATTAATATAGCGTGTATCTTAAACTATCTGTACAGAAATTTGGACCGATATGTATACAGGGTGTTCAAAAAATATATTTAATATTAAATAAACTTAAATTTTATTATAATTTATCTACTTATTTTATAAATAAAAATATTATTCTGATGTTGAACTTTTTTTTAACTTGTGTTAGTTATCTGCTTTCAGATACACTCTATATCAATAATTTTTTGGCATATGCAGAATGTACAAAGCTTTTTGTACCATTTAGGACCATCGTATAAAAAACGTCGTATTTTCCTTAAAACAAAAAAAAAATAAAAAAACGATCAAATTATTTTTGCTAATTTCAATACAGATTAGTCGTACTTAAAAACATAAAATTTCGATTTTTTAAAAAATGTAAATTTGCGGTAAAAAAGATTTATGACCAAATTTTCACTCTTATAAAACACCCTGTATACGAGAATTCGCTAAATATATTTTCATATTTTCGAAAACCACATAGTCTCTTAATCACAATAGATGCATCTAAAACCTGGTCCAAACCGCATCCCAAAATCTTTTTAGTTCAAGAGATATTCAACTTTAAATTTACTCGAAAATTTTGCTTGTCCCAATAATTATTTCCGGCAGTTTTGGTTGACGTAATTGTCCACAAGTACTAGTTAAACGCTTTTCTTCACTTAGGCACGCCAGAAAGAAATCTAACAATTAACCTGTTTGTTTCAATTATTTTTAATGGCCAAGCCGTAAGGGGAATCCCCTGGTGTCGATCCCGCAGATCCCGCACGGTAAATCCCGCAACTTTGATCCCGCGGAATAACAGAGGGATCCCGCATTTGCGGGATCCAGCATTTGCGGGATTGTATTCCCTATTCCTATCATATTCCCTATTCCGACAGTTTCCTTAGGATGTCGGTTTTAAGTATCAAGGTTTCGCATGCATAGGATATGACTAGTAGTACACATTCATCCATGTGTTCTTCTTTAGATAAAGTGGCATTCTATATTTGAATATGATTGTGTTTCTTCCATATGTACTGCATGCTAACTTAATTCTTAATATACCTTGAAATACACGATAAATTGAAGCTATACCAAACTAAAATAAATCAAATAATATCTAACAAAAAAAAATTGACAATTGCAAAAAGAAAAATCAATGAGACAATTAAAAAAAAAATATTTGTAAAAACATATTATATACAGTTATTGCATTATTCCCTTTGAGTTTATTTTGTTTTTCTATGCTTTTTCTAATAGTTGGTATTATATTTTTAGTGAAGGTCAAACTGCGACCAAAGAAAGCAAAGTCCAAATCTAGTTCTCACAAGCCAGGAAGACAAGTCATCAAGCCAAACAATGGTTGATTTTTTATTTAATATTTATTTACCTAGAATAAATTAAGAAATTGGTCAAAAGCAATAAAATCCTTTAAACACACAGCGATTTTTATTTTGTAAATATTAAACATTTAACAGAATTTTGTGTTTTGACTTATATATCGCATTTGTTTGATGACTCCCTAACTTCATCTATAATATCTCATAAAATTCTGAAAAGCTATACTTTTTCATTTCTTCCATTTGATATAAAATCACCCAGTCACAAATTCACAATTACAAAAAAAAATCGAATGGCTCTAAAGCTGGAGAATCAGATGGACTTTATTAATAAGAGAGTAAGGAAGAAAACAACCAAAATAGGACACTCCTAACAAGGCCTTAGTTTTATTTTGGGTTTTCTTTAAAAATAATTATTTTTATAAAATCACTTACTCTGTTGCACTTACCTTATTTTGCAGAGAAACATGTTTTCAAAGTACTTAACTATGAAGGTTTCTATAACGTTCATAATTTAATAATTTATAATATTTATTGTAATTATATTCTCCGCTGGACGTTTTCAATGAAAGAATACTTGAACTGTGTACAACCAACGATAATTTACATCAATATTAATAACCAAAAAATTGTATATCATTAATAACCTAATGATAGATTATTATAATACAATTACCAGTAACAAAAAAATACATATACTAGTAAATCATACGAGTAAGCTTTTTTTGTGTAATTTTAAAGATGATTTTAGTAGGCATATTAATTAATTTAAAATTATTTTCTAAATTCTTGATAAAGAATATTTGGAAAATAGTATAACTAAAATAATGGAATGATCCCGTCAGTTCCTTAGACGGTGTTCCGTCTTAATTCATTTCAAGTAGTAGTTTTTTCAGTCTACATTCTACACGCAATGTTTTAATTGATAAGTTTTGACTGAACAGGTAAGACTGACTGGTAAAACGATATCTGTAGACGGTATGCTTAAGGAATAAGCACAATTCACATTAAGGATGCATCTAAGCTGGAAGGGAGGACACTTATTACACATATTTAGGAATAATACTGGACTTGAAGCTTTCCTGGAAAAGGAACACTCTATCATATCGTACAAGTGTAGCAAGGAACAACACAGCGTAAGTTGCGCTAGAATAATACCACCTAGATAAGAAACACGATTTTGAAGAAAATATAAGGATTCGCATCCCGACAAGAGAAGAATGGGAAAGTACCTGGTATTGAATACTCAAGAGACAGCAGTCTCTACAGATGCTTTTGTGACTTCAGGAAGCACGCAGGTATAGGCATCATCTCAGAGAAACTAGAGTGGCCAGTTGTATACGGGGGAAAATCGCTGATAGACCAATAGGGGATATTGTGATATACTCTGACAGCTTGACTGCATTTGACAACAATAATGCAAGACCTCAGAGTGAGAGATCAAACATGATCCCAAACCCGAGCAACCTAACCTAACCTAAGGAGGCAGTGTTCTATTGACTGATACAGTGTCGTGTTAACAAAAAGACCCTATCTGACACGTTGAACAAGTTAAGTTCAACGGCAGAACAGTAGTCATACATGCCTCAGACAGGCTTCAGATGTAGATTGTATGAAATAAGGCAAGTTAATCACCGCGACCTTATAGATCTGTTGTGTCCCCCTTTCTTGAATTATAACTTATCACACAGTCTCAGGGCTTTTACAAAAGCCAGTATCTGAGATGGTTTTACAGAGGTTAGTTCTCCATCTCCGATATCAGTCGTACCAAAGTTTATGGCACGATGGTTGTCGTCTCGGAGCACTCAGATAAGGTATTCTGCTGTTTTACCGTTTTCCCCACAGAATCTGCATTTTTCATTGTTTCTTAGCTTCAATCTACTGAGATGTTCGTTAAGGAGATAGTGTCCCGTTAAAAACCCCGTGACAATCCGAAGATTGTCCTTACTAAATCAAGGAAAATCTTTGATTTTTTTCGGTCGTAAGTTCTGAGAAATTTCTTCGAGTGTCTTAGGCCTTTGGAGGATTCCCATTCCAGGTTACGGATGGAGTATTCCAGGTTCTTGAGTTCCGCTTTAAGTTGGTTTCCACATGGAAAGCAGAGCGGTCTAGTCCAGTAAGGGGAGAGTTGGTTCCTTTTTTAGCCAGATCGTTTGCTTTTTCATTACCCTCTATCCCTTGGTGGGCTGGTTACAGCTAGAGTAGGAGGACTTTATTTTCTTTGCTTAATTTGTTGAGCTTCTCTAGGCATTCTTTGACCAACTTACAGTTACTGAGTTGATCGCTTTTAAGGCAGGCTGCCACAGCGAGCGAAACTAAACTAAGCTAAGCGTAGATAAGATTTGTAAAAATCAGCTCATACTTTTAAATGTGTCAGGGGCCACTTGAGCGAAACTAAACGAATATAAAATATATGAACAAATATTCAAATCGTAGTTTAGTTTCGCTCGTTTTAGTTCGTGACAGGTTCCAGCGAATTTTTCGCAGCGATTAGTTCTATGATAGCAGAGATACAATACGAAAACTTAGCTGACTACTGAGCGAAAATCGTCCCCAGTGAAGTTCCCATTTAATTACCGTTTGTTTTCATATTCTTAGCTTAGTTTAGTTACGCTCTCAGTGGCCGCTCGCCTTTATTTTATGAGCCTATAAAGGCGGGCGGCCACTGCGAGCGAAACTAAACTAAGCCAAGCGAAGATAAGATTTGTAAAAATCAGCTCCCATCCTTTTAAATGCGTCAGCGGCCACTTGAGCGAAACTAAACGAAAATATATGAACAAAGATTCAAATAGTAGTTTAGTTTCGCCCGGTTCCAGCGAAATTTTCGCAGCGTAATTCTATGATAGCAGAGACACAATACGAAAACGCAGCTCACTTGGCTGACTACTAAGCAAAAATCGTTCCCAGTGGCCGATGAAACTTATTTTCGATTAGTTACCGTTTCTCTTTATATTCTTATCTTAGTTTAGTTTCGCTCACAGTGGTCGCCTGCCTTTAAATGCTGCTTGATTATCGGATAAGACGGCTGGAGTAACAGTAAACAAACAAACACTTATTTTAAGAGCCTATTAGGCTGTTCTGTTCGGGTCGCTTTCAGGGGTCGGATAAAGCGGGTGTGTGGCCGAAGGAAATATATATTATATTTCAGAAATCTGCCTAATAGCCCGATCCTGTCGTGTTAAGCCACACCCAAAATTCCAAACACACGTGCTTTGATTAAGGCTTGATTAAGGTTTGCAGAGCTTCAGGATTCGGCATAAAATAGCGATCAATTTGTTACAAAACCATATAAATTATATATCACTGTAATCACAAAACTTCAATCTATTTCCGTATTGTAACGGAATTTTAAATTATGTCTCTATTTTCGAGAAAATTTACTCCAAACATAAGAAATATTTTGTTGATGTTTGGCCATTAAAATCTTAAAAATAAAGAAGTTGTCTAAAAATGCGCTACAATGCGGATATAGTATAATCCTTTATCTTTAATTTCCTTCTTGATTTGTGTAAAAATACCTAGCCAGTTTTACATAAAACGTTAAATGCCGAAAGCTTATTTTGCTACTTTTTCGGACTAATGATATGGGCTCTTAAATGTTTCTTATTTAAAAAAAAATTATTGATATAAACTATATTTACATTTTTATAGTTCTGTTTTCAAGCGTTTTTTACTTTATTCATAAACTAAACGGAAATTTTACTTATTAATTTAATTCAATATAGTACCGCAACTTCAAAAACATTTACTTTATGATGCTCATGTTTTCCTAACCAATTAAATCAGTACCGGTTTCTGTACAAAATCTCGAAGGCTAATCGTATATTTTCGCGATATTTATTGTTGATTAGCGTGATGAGCGCGAACACGCTAACCAGCTAAACCGGCTTCTTTATTTTTTCCAATTACAAACAAAATGACAATAAATAATAATTGGTCACGTAGCTAGTTTATTTTTCTATATTTACCAAGAATTATTGCCAGTACACGTTTATTATAAAATAACTATTATTTTTTATTATCATTTCGGACTTTGCGGTTTGTCATGTTAATTTTAAAAGATTTTTTTATAATAATAATGTAGTGGTATAGTTGTAGAAAATAGATGATTAAATTTAAAATGAATAGCACTAACATCATAATTAGAATTATTTTTAACTTACATTCGTTTGTTGATGCTTCTGTAAAGTACAGTGTCCTCGCACTGTACTTTACAATGATAGAGTAAAGTAAAAAATAGGTATATTATGACACATTTAAAAGCTTTTGTAAAATTTGCAATTTTTTTAATTTTAAATAGATAAAATTGAGACATTAATTTTGAACACTCTGTAGCACATGCTTCAAATATCTTTACGTATATCTTTTATTATAAATTTCATCTCTATAAAACTCTCTTACCAAATTTTAGTACTCCAGCTTTAGAAACAATAGCGTAGTAACTGTCAATTTTTTATCGTATTAAAATCTAATATATTTTTAATTTAATTGAAAAATTATAAAAACCACTACTACAGTTTTAGATACATGACATTATACAGGGTGAGTCTTAAATAAATGCCAATATTTTTAAGGGTAGTATATTTCAACCCCCCCAGAAACACATCTATGAGGTTTTTTCCTGATTTTTTTTTGAAAATCTTGAATTTTTGAAGTTTTCTGGAATTTTCGGATTTTTTTTTTGTTAGAGAACATAATATCTTGATAATATGGCAACATAGGTAGTAAATTAAATGTACAAGAAAGAAAACTCAGCAAGATCTAGAGATTCTCAACATTTAAGCAAAAAATCATATTTTTTTTAATTTTCAAAGTAAAATAACAAATAACACGGTAATTTTGGATTTATTTGAAAAACGGTAAAGAGAAAATCTGTTTCTTTTATCGAGATCTATCAGCCTTGAAAATAATTTGCGCGCTTTTAAGACTCACCCTGTATATAAAAAAGAATTAGTATCTTATTACCTATAACCGTTGATTGAAAGAATTGGGAAGATACGCAACCTTATGGGCGAATTCCTTACAAGGCTGTTTTTTTTTTTTTTTTCCCTTACGTCTCAAGTGCTGTACGGTGGTGACACAAATCGTCTTGCGGTCAACGCACAAAACACTTATTTTCTCTAATTCGGCCAGCGAAGACGGTGTGGATTTGAAGGCGACAGTGTTGTCGTATTAAAATGTGTAATATCTGTAATACGTCTGACGAAATTATCTTTGGATGAAAAATCCGTGTTTATATATTGAAAATTTATTCGTGTTAACCACAGATAAACAAAAATAAAAATGCTTTTTTAGGTACTGAATATGTCGTATTAACGAAAAAAGTCGTTTAGGTGGCTTGGAAATGACGATTATGACATTTATCATAATATTTTACATAATATGAAATAACAAGGACCGTCATTTCCAAGCCAACTTTGACGCCGTTCGTTGTTTAATCATATAATATTACATTAAATTGTTTAATGATAGAAAATCCGTATTATCAACGTACTGTACCCAAAATCCGTAAATCTACGGGTTAATCCGTAGTTCTGGCAACACTGTCTCCGGCAACCACTCACTCTGTCGACTGAAAGCAGAACCACGGCATATAAAACAAGAACTACGGTACTGTATTCTTTATATGCTTTGCTGTAAACGACTATCAGCGCGCAGCGGCGCAAAGCTAAACTAAATCTCGAAATTCTCGGACAGGCTGACGGTAACGCCAACTATATCTCGGACATGTTTTGTGCCGCGAAATCCCCCCATAATTTTGTACATCTTCTTATTTCTTCAATCTACGCTATACCTATCTGTCAGTATAGTTATTAAAAAAGAAAAACAATGTTGGTGCTCTCAGTAAACAACTTAATGGTCAACTGCTTATTTTTTGATAGTTATTTACCTCTAGTTATATTTCGCGACTGAATGATAAGATAAGAAAAAGGAATAAAAACTCTCAAGAGATTAATTTATTATTTAATAAGTACAACAGGCTTAAAATATACAATTTTGTTTAAAATTATGGTTAATAGAAATATGTATATATTTATAAAAGAGCGGACGGATAAACAATTCTGCATTTAAAAACATAAATGACTAGAGCAAGTGTTGAATTTTTTGGTAAAACTATCATCTATTATTTCCGCCCAAAATTTGAGATGTTTTTGTAGTCAGAAACATTAAACAGGACATAAGATACGTACGGTATTAATAAGAGTTACAACTAGTTCACTACATTAAACTTAAAGGAATATTTCATATTTACAAATACTTTCTACAACAAAAGAAACGTCACTACCTTATCACAACACAGTCTCTCTCTTTTAAAGTCCATAAAATATCGTTATTGTAGCAACAACACCAAAGATCACACCGCTTGTCGTTCTATCAGCTGAAGAAGCAGTCAGAGGTCTAGTAGAACCATTTTCTGAAACTGTAGTGGAGTGAGCAGTTGACGATGACGCTTCAGAACCTGATGGTTCAGGTGAAGGCTCAGGCTCTGCCGATGGTTCGGGTTCTGGTGAAGGTTCAGAAGAATGTTCCTCTTCAGAATTTGCACTTGGTTCAGGTTCAGGTTGAGGAGATAAGTAAGGGTCTTGATCTAAACCTGTGTTGATAGGTTTCAGTTCTTCAGATTCTGTCGTACTACTCGTGCTGCTTGATTCTGCCTGGTTGTTGTATGAATATGAATCGTCATAGAGGTAGTTCATTCCTCCGACGTTTGATGCAATCAATCTGAAGTTTGGTTCTTTTAAATCAAGTTTATCATAAATGAATCTCTCAAGTCTGTTGACTAGTATAGTAAGGTTTCCTTCTTTATCCAGAGCAAAGGAATTAGGCCATTCCAGGTACCTTTCATCTTTAGCTATAATCTTCTGTCCTGTCTGGAAAGGTGTGTGAATATCCCACCTAGCTATACTATTACTACCTAGTAAACTATAGTACAAAACCCCTTCATTATCCATTACCATACCGACAGTTTGGGATGCTTTCAATCCATGATCTGTTACCTGTCCCTGGTACTCTCCATCGTCCATAGCAAAATGGTCGTTCTTGAGAACACTGGTGTTGATGGAATAAATGTGCAGAGATGAAATGGGAGTGTAGAACACTTCTCGGTCTTCATTGATGACGACTCTGTCTCCGTTTGTGCTTAGTTTGGGGCCCAGGGCTATGCTGGCGAGGTTGAGGGGTGCGTTGATTCCTACGCCGTTGACTTTGAAGAAGACTGCGTTGGGGTCGGCGTGCATGGATTGGGAATGGCGGATCTTCCAGGAGCGGTTCTGCTTGACCGAATAAACGATGATGCCTGGAAAGGAAATAAAAAAATAGATTAGTTAATAGTCAAAAATTTTCATTATTATTGTTTCAGTATTAGGAATAAAAAATACATTATGATTTGAAGATTGTTCTTAATTAAATGAAAGAAAAAAGAACAATCTTGGAATTGTCATATATCAAAGAAATTAGAGTTAATATAAAACCATATACTATTTTAGCTTTATAATTTTATAATGTTTTTTTTTATTTTTATTAAAAAAACGATAATTCTATTACCCGGCCGGACAGGTGTGGCCATTAAACCAATATACTATATACTATAAAAATACTACTAAATCTGTATCTCTGATTATTACTAATAACTAATTAGAATTTAGAGTTAGTAACTCGCATTTTCATTGGAGGACGCTGTCATTTTATTTCAAACCAATAATCAACGAGAATATTCGTATAATTTAATAAAATTACTGTAAATCACTATAAATAATGAATTGTTTGTAATTGAGCTGTAATTTCTGTATTATTAATCCGGTAAATGATGGAGATAAACAATTGTGATTGATTAAAATATTATTTTAAGATGAAACTTTTGTTAACAACATTCTGAGAATTCGAATAATGAAGTGAACAACTATGTCTAAAAAAGACAGCGATTAGAGTGACAATTTGGCCGTGTAAAATTTAGAGTGACAATTTTGATTATGCAAAAAAATACATATTCCTTAGTTTACTGGTTTGTCTAACTATTAACATTAATTTAAAAATAAATCCCCAACATGAATATGAACAAAACATTTAAACAAAAACAGACCACACAAAACAAATTGTTGGAGTAGCAGTTAGTAGTAGCACAGATTAGGTATCCTATAAGTATACAGATAAAAATCTTGTCCCTAATTCGTGGTACGAAAATTGTTTTTTATGACGATGTGCAAACGAGTAAAATTTCCTGTGCGCAAAAATAAACTCGCGTAAAATAACAATAAACAGCGTAATAGAGAGATATCGCTAAACCGAATAGCGTGCATGGACGTTAATAAGGTCAGGTGTTATTTCCTTTACGTGAGGTGGTATTAACTCTCTTCATTTATAGTTATCGGATCGGAAATAATTCTGTTCGCGTCGCGTCCGCTATTTAAACTTAACCTAACTTTGAATTTAAAACTTTGAAATTGTTTTGTTTACTAGGTATTTTAAAACTAAAGGGCTAAAGTGCTTATTTCCAGTGCTTTATTGTTCAATTCTGCCAGTGGGTTTAGGGCAACAAGCAACAAATTCTCTTAGAAGGGCTAAGTCGTCATCTGCTGTAAACCTAAGCCTCTTTATAGGTTCTTTAATATTCGAAGAGTTGGAATCCATATTTTGAGCCATATTTATTTAATTAAAACTAATCCCAGCTACTTAAATATCAAATTACCTAATAAAACTAAAGAAATAATTCAAAACAATTCAAACATAACCTAAAATAAAAGATCTCGTCGGCCGGCCCCGGTTGTCAAATACCTGCACATACCCATTTAAGCAATTTTTAAATGTTATTTAGAAATAGCGCTTGGTGTAATTGATCCGCAAATTACGTCAGGCGGTAACGTTATTAGCGGGTGTTGCGTTAAAAATTGACTCGCGCATATCGTAACCATGATAAGGTACGCGTAAATACTGCATGACGCTATTCGGTTTTCCGATATCTCTCTAATAACTGTGCCGGTCAGGCGCTGTGTGCACAATTTTAGCAGAGAAGAACAAACGTTTGTTCTTCTCTGATTTTAGAGGCCATAAGTGGGCTTGCTATGTGCGCAAACTAGTAATCTAACTAGTGCCCGATTCCGAAAATTGGAACCACGAAAAACAATAAAGAAAAAACAAAGTTTATAATCTGTATAATCTGTGGTAGTAGTCAGAGATATAGATGTAGAGAACTATCGTTTTTAATAAAAAATAAAAAAAAAATATAAAATATATATGTTACGTCAATAGTCGAATTCGGGCAATGCCCGAAAAAAAAAAACGCAAATTTAGTTTTGAGCAAGGAATATTTCCCAAACTCAAAAAACCAACTCATGAATTAACACCCTCCAAATAACCACGCTAACCAATTCGCCACATAACTAAACCAATCCAACCAAAAACAGTGAAACCAATGCAATCGGATCACACTATAAGCAAAAAAAATAATCGAATAAAATTTGTTAGAGGTTTGGGTTGGGGCGAGGTTTGAGAAATATTCCTTGCTCAAAACTAGATTTGCGTATTTTTCTCGGGCATTGCCCGAATTCGACTATTTAGCGTAATATACATGATATATATTCAGGGTGTTTCAAAACAAATGCGAAAAACTTCAGGGGGTGGTTCCTCGCTAAAAATAAAGGGTAGTTTGCTTTATAAACGTTGGGTCAAAAGTCAACCATTAGGGAGATATCGCGGTACAAAGATGGCGGAAAAATAATGTTTTTATTTTTTATCTTGAAAACTAAAAGAGATAGACTAATGACATTTTATGGAAGCATTACTGTTATGAAAACATACATTCCGGTAATTTTTTTCATTTTTTTAAAATGAGTGGAAGGGGTTGAAATAAACTACCCCTATCATTCTTATTAACGAAATTTAAAGAAAAATCTTATCAAACACATGCAAAAAACTAATTTCGATAGTTTAGTTTGTTTAGAAACTTTTTAATCTCTTCTGTTTTTTTGATAAAACTCACCGATTTGAAATTAAAAAATAAAATGTAAAGCATTGCCTGTCAGGACAAAAAAACATTTTCACATAAAGAAAAAAGGCTTCGGAATTGATCGTAAGATAATAACGTAATGCAGTAGAGTAATGTCAGATAAAATAATATTAGAAACATCCTAAAAAGTGACAGCGGCCAACTAGATTTTTTCCTAAAAAAATTACAGCAGCTCACTTGATTCTTTATTTAAAAATGTTTTTTGTCCTGACATGTAATGCTTTACATTTTATTTTTTAATTTCAAATCGGTGAGTTTTATCAAAAAAACACAAGAGATAAAAAAGTTCCTAAATAAACTAAACTATCCAAATTAATTTTGTATGTGTTTGATAAGATTTTTCTTTAAATTTCGTTAACAAGAATTATAGGGGTAGTTTATTTCAACCCTTTCCACTTATTTTAAAAAAGTGAAAAAATTACCAGAAAGTGTGTTTTCATAACAGTAATGCTTCCATAAAATTTCATTAGTCTATCGCTTTTCGTTTTCAAGATAAAAAATAAAAACATTATTTTTCCGCCATCTTTGTATTACAATATCTCCCTAATGGTTGACTTTTGACCCAATGTTTATAAAGCAAACTAGCCTTTATTTTGAACAAGGAATCAACCCCTGAAGTTTTTCGCATTTGTTTTGAAACACCCTGTATATTCTTCAAATCCGTCAATGTAATAGCTGTTAGTAAGAAGTTTCACGATCTTTTTCAAATTTAAACAATCTGAATCCCATTTGCTGCAGACTTTTTTGGCAGATACTGTACAAATTTGCATAGGTCAACGGATCAGCCAGTACTTAACATAAATAACTAGTTCAATTTCACTAATCACGATACTTCATCTAACATTTTTCTTTCCATATTAAACGAAAGCTACTCTTTTTAAATCATTAAATAATCTGGTAAGTATGCATGCTCCAGTTTCCATTTCGTATGCATTTCTAGGTCCTGCAACCGATATATCAGATCGTCAAACGTATCTAAACGAACGGTATACGGTACCGTACCGTCTCACTGTGTGGGTTAAGTGGTTTGAGTGAGTACCACATTTCGTTTGGGCTTAATTGTGTCACGCATGGTACTCGAACGCAGAATTAAGGTTAATACTGCTTGAGAAGAAAGAAAAATCTTCTTCGATTGGATTATCAATATATGAAATTTCTCGTGAATTTATTGCTATAGTAAAAATTATCCTTTTTTATACAACAACGCGTCCTCAAAAGAACAGAACAGATTTCTCCAGAGCTACAGGTTAAAACACTGATTTCCCAGCGAATTTCTTCAACGGAGCTTTAGAAAACCTTCATATTCCTTCAACTTTATAAAAAACTAGCGTGTACCAACGACTTCGTTCGCGTCGAATTAATCATTCGTAATGGTGATGTTAAAGCAAAGCAAGAATTTCCATTAACATACAAACTGGATAACATTTTCTCACATTTATGTCAGCATGAGAAAAAACAATATGGCGATATTATTATATAACTTGGTAAGATTTGAGAGGTAGTTTCTAGTTTCATCTCGTTGGAATTTGATTTTCGAAAAATCCGTTTGCAAAAATTAAGCTTTTTACGTCAAGCAGTTTAAGGAGAATCGTGGTTAAGAAATTACCCAACTATTTGGAACACCCTGTATGATTTTTTTAAAAAATTTCAAAATATGTAAAAAAACCAAATAAATTATGCTTGTCCAAGCGTTTTCCCGAAAGACTAATGGTTTTTTAAATAACAAATATTGTAATATTTGAGGGGCGTTTTCACCCTCTTGGAATTTGAAATTTGAGAAACCCCTCCTTATCGAACCTCTACACCCCACAGTCAATCCGTTTGCCAAAAATCAGTTTAAAACGTCAAGCAGTTTAAGTAGAATCGTGATTACTCAATGGTCATATTTTATGAAACACCTTGTATAAATTTATAAAAAATCTTAAAATATGTAAAACAACAAAATAAAATATACGTGTTTAAGAGTTTTTCCGAAAAACTAAGCGGTTTCTAAATAAAAAATATTTTAACATTTGAGGGATAGTTTCACCCCCTTAGAATTCGAGTTTAGAAAAATCCCTTTTTATTGAACCTCTACACCCTAAAGTCAATCTGTTTTCCAAAAATCAGCTTTTTACCTCAAGCGCTTTAAGCAGGATCGTGATTAATCAATGACCAGATTTTTCGAAACACCCTGTATACATTTTTAAAAATCTTAAAATATGTAAAAAAACAAAATAAAATATACGTTTTTTCGGAAACTTGACCGTTTTTTAAATAAAAAATATTGTAATATTTGAGGGGTGGTTTCACCC